ATGAAGGAGCATTAGATGCCACTGCTGCCTTGCTCACTGACTCCTTGTCTGTCCAGCACACAAGAGGTGGTAATGATAGGAGAGACTGTGAAGAGCAAATAGCAATTAGCAACAATGGTGGTGGGTAAGTAATCAGGGCAGAACCTCCTCTAGCCTGGGAACTGAATTCCACTTTGGAAAAACTCTTAAGGACCACATTCCAGTGGTGGGTAGGGCTAAAATACCCTCCCGCTCAAGTGTTTTATCTTAAAGCTCTCACTGCCAGTAATGAAGCCTTAGGATAGGTATTTTAATGGGGGAAACAACTGTATAAAAGCAAGGAAACCACCAAAATGTTGCAGAGTTTTGCAATTTTTTGTTTTGCTATTGTCTGCTTTAAGTGTGAAACTTTTTTGTTTTTATGATATCTTTATTGCCTGTTGTAAACCACCAAGAGAACTTTGGCTCTGGAGCAGTATAAAAACGAAATTAATTTTAATTTAAAAAGTGTTGGATGGGAGGGGGGTGGAGTCAAGGAAAGAAGGCATGGCCTGCAGAAGAACCCTGGAAAAGAGATAGCACCAGTTAAAAGCCCTAAGTTCAGTACCAGTGCTTTGAGTTGGACATGGAAATGAACTAGCAAGTGTGGCCGCCAGTACCAATTCTGTACTGCACGATTTGACCTGCTGTCTCCCTCTAACATTCCGGCCACTGTATTCTGGATGAGTTGAAGTTTCTGAACTGTCTGCAAAGGTAGTTGGCAGGGACATAAAGTGTATTCTAGATATCCAGCGTTGGAGGTAACTCAGGTCAAGTGTGTATTAAATCTGTCTTTACCTGTTTTTTTTTTTAAACTGAGGCTCTGTGGGACCTAAATTTCTAAAGCAGTAACTGTACTTGAGCAGGGAATTAATGGATGGGTGCAATTAGGGTGCTGTTACATTCCCCAACGGCTCTGTCCTCGTGTTTGTAAGACTACATGTTAGTTTAGCAGCAAAGCAGTCAGCTTCCACCCCGTTCACAAAGATTTGTCAGTGGGTGTTAAAGTAGTGCTGTTCTTTGTCTGACTTCCATGCTGGGAAAAAATAATTACTGCAATCGATTTGCTTCCACTGAGTAAAAGGTAGGCACTCAACCCATCTATTTCTGCCAGGGAGGACAGCAGTAGCTGTTCAGAACTATCCACACTTTTAAGCTTCCCAGGGGAAACAGCAGTAAAGTACTACTGGCTCCTCTGGCAGTAATTTAATACCAAACTACTGCTGTTCAACTGCAAATTTTGCAGCAATAAGGACCTGCCAGTAGTAAAACATTATGCTTTGTTTTGCATAAGCGTCCTCATGTTTTTCTTATGTTCATACAGCAGCAAGTTACGTCTTTTTTTGTTTTTCGCCCTGTGGAGAGGAAACAGTCACCTAAATCCAATGCATGTTTGCATGGTAAGATCGTTTCAAGGACATATTGCCAATGTGTCCTTGTAGGAAATGTAGTGCAGTAATTGGAGAGCTGGACTGGGGCTTGGAAGACGGGTTGGAGTCCCCGCTTGGTCATGAACTCAGTGTTTGATTTTGGGCCAGTCACTGACACTCAGCCTAACCTGTTTCACAGGGTGGTTGTGAGGATAAAATGTAGAGGAGATTTATGTAAGCTGCCTTAGGTTCTTTACAGGAAAAGGTAGGATATAAATATAATAAATGCAAAGAGCAGCAGTTTAGTGGATATAGTTCATCCACCCAGGCTGTACAGAAAAACAGGCACTGTTTGTGACCCTGTGATGCTGACTACATTTTATTTGGAGTCTTCCTAGGAAGGACTGAATAGTTTGAAAAAGAAACTCCCAGCCCTTTTTAGTTAAGTCACAGCTCAAATGTTCTAATAGTCTCTTCGCCTGAAAAAGCACAACAGTCGGAGCCTGCACAAAGCTGGGCTTAAGACAGACAGCAGAGTTAAGAGCTGCTGAAGTTTTTAAGAACTGTGTTCCTTCCCTTTGAAAGGGAAGTAATTTTAATACTGTTAAATCTTTGTGAGGTTGCTTCCAAAACACACTGACTGCATGCAGTCATGAATCACAGGAGGTGTTTTATGTCTGATGAGACTACGCTGGAATAAGACTTCTAAACGAATGACATAATCTTTCCTCTAAAGCATGCAGAAGGAGTCAGATTGGATCAGACTAGAGGTCCATCTAGTCCAACATCCTATTCACACAGTGGATAACCAGATGCCTCTTGGATACCCAAACTGGAACATGAGTGTAATAGCACCTTCCTGCTCATATTCCCTAGCAACTGGTATACATAGGCAACCAAAGTGGTGGCTGTAACTCTATCTTCTTGTAAAGAATTCTGTAGTTTAACTATGTGCTGAAACTCAATTTAATAGCTACTTGTGTCCACTTTAATGCTTTTTAAAGTGTTATTTGTTGAAAGCATTGATTTTAATGCCATTTAACCTTTTGATGGGTGCTTCAATGTAAGCTCCCCAAAACTACCTATATACAATCACAATTCACAGGAAGAGGGATTTTCTGACAAGGTCATGTTAGGATAATCTGACAAGGTTATGCTCTACTTCTGAACTGACGGCATTTAATTCTCAGTAATGTGCAGGGGCTGTTTTTGTTTCTGCAATGAATATATATGTAAAGGAAATATTCAAATACTTTTCAAAATACTCAAATCACTTACAAAATGACAGAAATGTAATTGCAGAGGTGGCCCTATCTTGTGGCTAGGAATTGAAATTGCATATAAAAATATGCTAATAACGCTGCTTCTCTATTGTGTGGTCTGTCCACAGTGCAGTGCTTCATGCGGTGTTATACCAGCTCCAGAATCTGGGTTTCTAACATGGTGCCCAGTGGAGGGTGTACAATGTGTTATGGAAACAAAACAGAGTAGTTTGCTATGTCCTGTGAGCCCAGCCAGGGAGTTAAAAGGCGATACAGAATTGCTACTCCTTCAGCCCTCAGTTGTTCTCTTGCTACAAGTTATTGAGAAGAATTGTTTGTGGAGCAAACACAGAAAAGGAGAGTTTTATAATAAAGACATAGAATCAATTTTAGGAGGGGGCTAGTGCCTGCTTCATCAGATGCATTCAAGTGTTATTCTCAGTTGGCACACGACTACAGAGGAACAGCAGCAGGGCCCAAAGCCCCTGGAGAGTTGGGGCATAAATCCAAAACCTGAAACGTATACAAGATTGGCATAGGAAAAATGGTTTTGCTATGCTAGCACTTAGTCTCGATGAAAGAGCGAGAATTTTAAATGAAAAGCCAGTATTTTTGAATAAGAACAGGGGCCTATTCTATTTCTAAATTAAACATGAATCCATAGGCAGGCAAGTCATTAATAAACATTCTTCAGTTGGCTAACAGCTCCCATGTTGAGTTCTAGAAACTTTGCAGGTCACGTGTAACCTTGGAGTGTTAATACTGAACTAAAACAATTTATAGTTATTGGAGGTGGCTCATTGACATTACATCTTATAGGTCAAAGGAGAGCACCAGGAGCTCTTCAGAGATAAAAGGGCTGGTTTAAGCGAGGGGGCAGACCTGGAAGCGCGCCTTTTCCCTACTCAAAGCCCTAAATCTATCAGAAAACGAAGAAGCTACCTAGGGAAGTATGTATTAAGCTAAATCTTAGTTTTAGAGCCGCAACCTAGAGCCGATTATGTAAAAACCACTCTGATCGCTGCCCGACTCAACAGCAAATTCGGTTTTTAAAGGGGGTGGGGGGTTTTGGTGGGGAGAGCTGCACTCAAGACAAGCCGCGATGCCTCCAAGGGCCGCTCGCTCGCTCGCACGCAATGCAATGCAATCGCAACGCGCCACCGAAGCGAGGCGGCGGGGGAAGAGCGCGCAGCCGCTGCAGCCCCGAAGAGCTGCACGGGGGCGCGTCGCGGCGCGACGTGGAGCAGGAAGAGGCTTTGCCCAGAAACGGCCCGCCGCGTCCTTTGCGGGGGAGAGGCGGAGCCGGCGGCGGCGGCGGGCCTGCCGGGGCGGGCCAGACGGAAACCCTGGCCGTGCTTGGGAAAGCAGCGGAGGAAGCGAAGCGTCCGCTTTCCCGCTCGCCTGGAGGGACGAAGCGGCATCCCGGCGCTGACTCCTCCCCCCTCGGCGAGCCAGGCCGTCCGGGCCACGTGCTGACAAGCGCGCCTCCCCAGCCATCTCCCGCGGGGGGCGGCCGCGCTCCTTTCCTGTAACCGAAAAGCAGAAACGGGTCGCGTGCCACAGTGAAGACCAGTGCTTTGGGGGCACAATCCTAACTCTTCACCTCGTGGGGGAGAAGGATACAACTCCCAGCACGCCCCCTCCATCCTATACGTGCTTGCACGGGGGAAGGGAAGTCCTACAACTCCCAGCATGCCCCAGCCATCCTATGACCGGTTAGACTGGGAAGAGTCCTACGCTAGCTGAGGCTTGCTGGAAGTCGGAGGACTCCCGCGCCGTCCACGCACGCATGGGATGGCGTCCTACTTCCAGATTTTGTGGCGTATCATCCATCTACCTACCTTCCTAGCACACACTCAGCGAAAGAAAGAGCAAGGAAGCGCCGGGGGTACGCAGGCGTAGTTCTCAGTCTGCGCCGAGAGCAAAGGCGCAGGAGAGCTCCACCTACCCGGAGGTGATCCCTCAGCTGATCCGGGCCAGTGCGCAGTAGCTGGCGGGCAAGATCGGGGAAATTGCCTGCGACGTCCCTGGGCTGAGGTTTTCAAGCAGGGAGTCCTTAGTATTTCTTCTCCTTCCTCCGCCGCCGCCGTTACTACTAAACCCACCCCACCATGTCTCCAGTACGCACAGTGGGCCTTTAATAGCGTATCGCTCCTGCCTGGTCTGAAGGAGTCCAGGATGCGAAGCAGAGATGTTTGGCTGGCGGTCCCGCTTCTGGTCGCCTTGTGGAGGAGCGATTCGTCGGGGGCTTTAGCTTCGGCAAGCCCAGCAGCGGCAGCATCGCATAGTCTGCGGGGAAGCTGGCGGTTGAGCAATGGGAACGGCTCGCTGGAGCTCCCCGGGGGTGTCCCTGGGTGTGTACACACCGCCTTGCTCCAGCAGGGTCTCATCCAGGTACGAAATCCGCGTGGCAGCCAGCCAGCCAGCCAGCTAGCCAGCCAGCCGATCAACCGGTGCTGAGCAGCTTCCAAAGTCAGCCTCGGCTAAGCGTCTGAGGCAAAATCCACGCTGCCTGTAGAGATGGTTAGCGGATCGTCAGGATGTGGGTGGTACGAGTGTCTCGTTTCTCCTTCATTCAGCGATTTGATTGTAGGCTTCCAAAGTTCTCAGATGAAAACAACTTGCCCTTTTACCGTTTTCACATTCGATGCTGAAACACAACAGAAGTGCATTTCTTCCTTTTTTGAATATAGATATTTTCCCAAAAAAAGTAGACATGACAAAAAAGAAATAAACAGGCTGTTTTCATGATAACATTGACATAAATTCAGAGCTCATGTTTGAAACATAATCCATATAAGCAGAGCATTGCCATAAGCGTGTCATTCAGTAGCCTGCCTTCTGACTAGTTAGCCCCACGGGGACAGCTATGGGAGTTAGGCAGAAAAAAGGCCTACAACTCCCGGCTAAACAGAAAAAGGGGTTGCATCCTAAATGTAGAGAGAATGGTAGAATAACAGAAGTGAATTTCCCTCAGGAACAATTGGGCAGTTTGGTGGCAATGCAGAGTGAGTTTGCTTCCTGGATAAAGCATACTTGGCATCTGTGCCTGCTCTTTCAAGGGGTGGCATGGGCAGATTTTCTGCTGAGGTGCCCACCATGCATCTGAATGCATGGGGTAGGTGCTTTTATATGTGACAGATGGGGAGCATTTTGCATAGTGCATACTTTACCTGTGGCTGCCATTGGGTTTGTCCTAGCTCTGGGCCCCAGCATCCCATGCCACACTATTTGAAAGTGTAGAAACCTCATGTGAAGGTCATACAAGTGTGGTTATTTCCCTGGTACATTTCTATCATTTTTATTTCTCTATATCTGCTTGTTAAGTGCTATTGCTTATATAGTCAAAATAGCTGCATTTATATATTTATGTTTGGATTTATGCTGTTATTTGAAAATTCATTTTTTATTATTTTGTATTTCATTTCAGTACTGCCTAATAGCTGAAACTCTCTGGGCAGTGCATAGTAAATCATAAAAACACAAAGCACAAATACAATAAAAAGAGCATAACATTTCAATAAACAAATTTCGAAACAGAACTTTGAATGCGATCTGAGTGGCTAAAACAATTTCAGTATGATTCAGCCGTCATAAATACCACTCATGTAATTAAACTCCATGGAATGGCTCAGACAAGAGGGCAGTCTTTACATAGTGCTGAAAGAATAACAGAGTTGGTACCAGGCAGGCCTCCCTGAGGAGATCCTGACTGTTAAATTCAGGTACTTCTGTTCTTTTTGTTTATTTTCTGAAATTCAAAATATTAAATTTATAATAAATAAAAATGTGGCTGAAATGGTTCCACCCACACACAAGAGGAAGCTATCAGCAGACTTGGGAGAATCAAAAGTTTTGCAGAAGTACAAAACCAGCAAAAATGTAGGAGAAAAGCTAAGAAGGGGACCTGCCCCCCCCAAAAAACCCCCCAAAAAACAGAGTCCAGTGAGTACTGAGTGTATTTAGTGATCAAGGAATGCTGTCTATCATAGAAGAATAGGATGGAGCATGGTGGAGCAGGGCATGTATGACTGGAATGGTGAAAAAGAGTCCATGCTGCTGCATTTTAGAGACCCCATTTCTGGAATAAGGCTAGTTTGCATCATCTATTTTTGATGCAAGACTGAATAACAAATGCATGTATCACAGATCATAAGTCTCTCATTTATATCACTTCACAGCTCCTGAAAGAGAGTGTTTTTTCTGTTACAAGGCTTGACAAATCCAGTGATATATATGCTTGTGAGGAGTAGGCGAAAAGGATTGAGAGGGGATATGATGATCTGTGAGGTAGGTTAGGCTGAGAGTCACCCAGTAAGCTTCATGACTGAGTGGGGACTAGAATACAGAACTCCCAGGTCTCCAGTCTCTGAGCACCACACCACACTGGCTGTCATGCAATTATGAACTTAACTGATAACCAACATTGCTCTACAGCAAAGCGAGCCATCTGTATCATCCAGCATCTTGTTTTATACAGGTTGTCACTGGAAAGGCCGTAAGCAGGACATGAGAGGAAATCAGCCCTTTTCTGCATGAATTTGTCTAGTTCCTTTGGCAAATGCAATAATGTAACTATGCTGGCTGGAGATTTACTTTTTGTTGTTGATTCTGAATCTCCCACCATAAACTGCTAGCATGTGGCAATATGGTGTCTTTCACTTAGTATGGGCTTGTTGATTTGGATTGGGTTTAGACAGCATGATAATTCAAGCCCAAGGGTTGAGTGTGGATTGTTGTTGAATGGCAGGTTGTTGTTTAAACATGGCTTGTCTTGCTGTCTGAACGCAGACAACATAACAACCCACCATGCAACCACAACCCATGCTTCAACACACTCAGTGCATACTCATCCCTTGATTGAAGGTCATTGTGTCACCTGAACCCAGCCTCTGAGCGGAAAAGTAGCAGTTTCTGCAACCTAACAGCTGGGACATACTTATTTTCTGAGTTAAAATTGGGGGAAAACACTATTTTTTTAATATACATAAAGCAGGGCCGGGGAACCTAAGGCCTAGGAACCAATTCCAACTCTTCTGGAGTTCTCTGGATGTCCTTACCTCCTTTCTCCTCAGTTATGATGCAGCACTATGTTTTGTATTTTTACCCAGACTCATCCAGCTCTGAAATGTGCTTCTTTGAAATTGAATTCAGCTTTCAGGCTAAAGCCAGTTCACGACCTCTGAAATAACAGGTGGAAGCTACACAGCATACCTAGAGCAAGCAGCGGCTTTTGCACAGATGTATTAAGAGACCGTCGAGGGCAGCTAATTCTGGCCTCTGTGTGTTGAATGAGGATAGCGTAGAGCAATTGCTCCTGCTATTGAGTGACAGCACAATTTACTCACCTCCTCCTCTGTTCTGTTGGAGGCCTGACAGGAGCCTTTAATATTTCCCCCCTTTGGCACATTTTCCCCTTCCAGCACGTGTTCTAGAAGTGGGTGTTCAATGTAATTCTCAGAATGAGCAAATGATACTCTCAGGTCAGCACGATGTCTTTAACCTTCAAAAGCTTTGTCTTTAACCTTCAAAAATCATGCACAAATCCCCATGCCCCTATGAAAGCGCTGGGCAAAGCTCATAGGGGGTGAAAATGCTGAAATACTTTGTGAAATAATATGAAACTGAAGCTTTAAATGCAATTACATGTTAACCTGTTGTGCAGATGGTACTTTACTCATTCTGAAAATATCTCTAATACTTACACATATACTGTGGAAAATGATCTGGGCCTTCTTATTTTCTATAGTGGTGCTAAATATTCCTGTTGTACTTTATATTTAGCACTGGCACACTAAATAATGCATCATGCTCTCATGTATATGAGTTGACTGGAGGATTCTCTTTGCTGCTGAACCCTGTGAAATAGTCAATATTCTTCATGAAATGCTGTGAGGGAAATGTCTTGCTGAGTTTGCCTGCTGAGAACCCAGTACTTGCTTAATGAGGATAAAAACCTGGGGTCAGTACAGTGTGTCTGTTCTGAGGCCTTATTAATGCCTTGCCTTTAGGCTTTGGTAAGGGGATTAAGTCTCATTGATAAAATACCTACTGTCTTGAGTCCTTGCTTACGAGGCATCCAAGAATAAAGTGGTGGTGGACATCCAGAAGAAAGAAAAAGTAAATGTAGCAGAAATTTCACAGACATGTAGAGCCTTTTTACAGGTGTGATTTGACAAGCTGTGTACAAGGCCATTAAAGCCAATTCCTAATAGTAGAGTTGCTTATAAGGACCTTATCTAGAAAACTGTCAGCCGTGGAGGAGGCAGCCAAGCGGGGGTATGGGGTTAGGACGCAGCAATCCCATCTGCTGTGGCATGAATAGCAGTTGAAGCTTTTGCCAGGAACTGCACACTCCTGTTCGTTTGACACTTGGCTCTTGTGCAGGACTTGGCAGCTGAGCCACATAATGGGAAAGCTGTGCCAAAGCTCATATTGGGTGGCGATGATTTAATGGGCTCTTTTGCCTGCCTCTTGGCTCTCTTGGGAGATTGTGGTTATGATTATAAGAGAGGGAGTGCCCTTTGGATTGGAGGTTATGCTGAGGACTGGAAGGGAAGTCAGCTGGTGAGCCAATTGACTCCTTGGGTCTCCAGTGGCCCTCCCTTCTCCTCAATCTAATGTCTTTTGGTACATGTGAATCTTGTGTTCTTATCAGTGTGAGACAGCCTTCCTGACCCTCCAGATCTGTTGGATTTCAACTCCCATCACCCCCTGCTGGTGTAGGGATGATGATGAGGTTTGTCGTTCAGCATATCTTAAGGGTACCAGGTTGGGAAAGGCTCGTAGAAGATAAAACTTGCTTTGGTGCCTAAGAGAATTTCAACTTAAGGAAGTTCACGGTAGGAAGGTTTCCTGAGCCTTCTCTCCCAGCGCTCCCCGCTTATACCTTCTCCAAAAAGCCTCTCTGAAGCATCAGGAGAGCCTTCTCAACAAAGTTTGAAGTGCTTCAGTAATCCACAGTTAGAATAAACTACACTTTGTCTGGATTCAGATGTAACCAAATGATGTGCTTAGCCAAAACAAAAGCAAAAACGTCAAGTTGCAAAGTTGGAGGAAAAAGGGAATCAGAGGCTATATCGGCATACTTTCTTTCAAACTCTAGCTTCTAGCCCTTAAGACTGAGGGTAAGCATTTCTTTCTTTTGGAATCTGGGGTGAATGTGCCAAATCCAGGAAACTAGCAGACCATCAGGGGAAAGGGAATGTGGCCATTTGGGGAAATTGAAGTGTAAGATTTGACTCCCAGGTCTGCAGTTCTCCTTGCTGGCCTAACCCATATTTTAATTGCTTTACACCATTCTGAGAATGTTTACTAAAGAATGGGTTGTAAAAACTTTAAGATAAATATTTTATCATTACTGTACATGCAAAGGCAACCAATATGACTTAAGTTACAATCCCATTATAATTCCTGTAAAATCCCAGACATGGAGGCCTTTGGGTGTCTCCTCATCCTCCTGCTCTGCATCTTCATTATTTAGGCTTTTCCATCCAAGTAGCTGGGATGCCTCAAAGGGGGAGGAAAGGCGGCTGGAGCAGCTTCAAGATGCCATATGAGCTCCACAGCCTCCTTGTTCCCCTCCCCTTTTCATCGAGGCTCCTTTCCCAACCTTAGGGAACAAATCCAGCTCAGCTCCTTCTGCTCTATCTCCCATGCAGAACCAAGAATCTGAGCTATCCTATGCAGTTTCAGTGCTGTCTAGGGTCCATAGGATTGCTCTCTCCCATGTCACCTTGGGAGGTACTTTGTTTGGAAAAGTAGTGTATAAATTTAAAAGACTATTTTTTTCCATTTTGCTTTTATTGACAACTGGGTTGCTGTGCTTATTGCCTGATTTTCTCACTTTGCAGTTTTATGTACTATTTATTTTGAGTGATGGTTTTGAATTACTTTTTTATTGTTGGATACAGTCCAAGAAGTGAAAACTGGTATAAACATAAACTTTAATTAATGTGTAAGTAACCCACAGTTTTGTGAACCTGGTCATCTGGTGAGTGCTTTGCTGGAAAGAGATGTTGAAGCCGTTCTTTCATTGACCAAGGAGCTGGTAGTGCAGTCATGTTCCTTACTGGCTTCAGAAATTATATTTCTTTCTTAATGGTCATTTGCATTTTCCTAACCTTAATTCTCTTCACAATACTTTTATATACGTCATTGCATTGCTGCCTTCTAATAAGCAAAAGGTTTTTTTCTGTCTTTTTTGTGTGGTCAATCAATGATAGGATCCTTATTATAGATTTAATGACCTGGCCTACAAATGGATCTCCCTGGATAACTGGACATATGACAGAAAATTCGAAACACCTTTCAATGCCAGGTAGGAAAACAAGAGAACTAAGGTTTGTGCTGAAATTCTGTACATGTTCAATTTGGTATCAGTGCTACTGAACTAGCACTGAAATAAAGATCTGTGCAGCTGCACTTCCTATGGCTGATCTTTGCTTATGGTTATTATGCAAGAAGAATTATCTGTGGTCCACTAAAGATCTCACACTGCCCAGCCTAAGCCTAAGAGATCTTGACCGGGAGCAACTTGCAGGTTCCTCTGCTCCTTCCCACTTGCATAAATCCCTCCCTCTCACTTTTGAAGGTAGTTGCTCAGGCACAGCATTATATAAACCTTGATTTTTTCACTAAGTATGACTTCTTCAAACTATGCTTTTCAAAATTGCTGCTTTGGTAAGTAAACCGATTACAGTGGAAGAACTATAAGATTTTCCTTAGGATACCTTTCCCTAGCCTGGCCCTGTTGAGATTCATTGGACTACAACTCCTACCAACCAGTCTAGAACATTTGATGGGCAAGGCTGGGGAAGGCTGATTCAATGCGTTTAACAGAACTGGCTTTCAGGTCACTATTTGGTTTGCTAAAAATGCTGTCCGGATTGACCTGCATTGAAATAGAGTAATGCAACAGAATGTGTACAATGAAATATGTAATGCCTGTTTGAAAGACTGAGCTGAACATTCCTGTCAACCATGGAGGTCATCAATTACAGAGGTAATATAGACGTAATATATATTCAGAGGTAATACATACATCAGTAGTGGATAGATTACTTTCTTGTAGGAGGTACTTTGACCCTCACAGTCTACCAACTGGATCCAAGTGCAAAATAGTGACATAGAATTAAAGCACAAGCACCAAAATATATGGTCAGCCTAGAAATTTGTTTTTGGTACCAGAAATGAGCTCACAGTTCCTTCAAAGGTCCACTTCTAGTTTCCCCTCAAGCTGTATAATTTCAACAACCTAGTTATTTTTTAAGGACAAGGGAAAGACAAGAGTTTTTTTGTTTTTGTTAAACAACCAGAAGTCAGAAACTCTTGTTAATGTACTGGAAAGACCCGAAGATCTACCAACAGATCTGCCTTCTCCTGGATGACATCAGTATTTTTGGAGTAGACAAGAAATAGTTGCTTCTTAAGCTATTTCACGATGTGGATTTATTGGCCTAGAGTACACATTATACTGGATCCTTGCAAAGCATGATTTACAGATGGGAAGCCAGCCTTAGATGTTAAAATAGACAAGGGAAAGGAGGAGGGAATTTGTGTCAGAGAGGGCAGAAGGAAGGGGCAGAAAATATATGCTCCTGGTGTTGGCTCTGGTTTTTCACACCTGGGCTTTTCGAAGGATTCTACGTCTGTACGAGATCATCGCTGCACTACGGAGGCCCTGATGATCTGGCATTTTCCTGTTCTCTTTCCACAGCATGTGGCAAAAAGTGAGTTTGGTTTTTGAGGGACTGGATACAGTAGCACAGATTGTGGTCAATAATGTCACCATTGGGAGGACGGACAACATGTTCAACAGATACGTGAGTGCTGCAACTCGTCTAGAAGGGTTTCTGTGGCTGGGAAGAAGGGCAGAGGGATTTGATGTGCTTCCAGTCGTCCTCAGTCCCCCAGCTGGAATTATGAAACAGGCCACCAGTGTCAGGTAGGCAACAAGACCAGAAGGCTCATCAGTCCCTGGGCAGATCTCCATACATTGTTGATGGGCTACATGTGGCTGGACAAAGTGCATATTGTGAAGAAGACCCAGTTTGGAAGTTAAGAGGTGGCTCTGATGTTACTTTCTTCTGCTTTCTTAACTTGGAGAATAAATCTAGTTATGTGAGCAGCTCCATGAGACCTGCAGTCTCACAGTTCATGGTGGGCTTTGCCATCCACTGCCGTCAAACATATCTAAGAGCTTCAGAGACTCCCAGAAATGACTAGTGTTTCTACTTTTGTCTTTATATTGTAATTTTTACTCTTTTAAAAGTGCAGCATAGCTGGTTGGAGCATGCTGGGAATTATAGGCCCCTGTGTGTGTAGGACTGCACCTTTACAACATTCATGCTGTCTTTGGTCGTGATGTATTTTATGATGCCAGTTATTGTGAACCACTCAGCAGACTTTAAACTATTAGGCAGTAATGAACTATAAAAAATAAAATAAACAAGCTATTGTGGTGCCTCTTGAGGACTCAGTAGTTTTCCTGCACTGTTCATTCAGGAAGAGAACTCCTATGACTGAAGAAAGTGAAATTTGAATCGAGGGTTATTTAACTGGATGCATGACAGGGGCTGTATGTCATAGTGGTTAATACGTTGTGTCCATAATACTGTTTTTTTCCTTTTCCTGATGCAGAGCTTTGATATTACTGATGTGCTCGAGAAGATCAATGTGATTGAGGTTCATTTTTTATCTGCAGTTTGGTATGCTGAGAAGCAGAGTGAACTGCACCAGGCATACAGGGTGCCACCTGAATGCCCCCCACCTGTGCAGAAAGGACAGTGTCATGTTAACTTCATTAGAAAGGTAATTCTGCTATATAATGTTGATAACATCAAATGAATCCTGAAACTTAGTTGGACTCATTTTAAAAAAGAATATGACTATTCATTATGTTAACACAGCACTTCTCTTTTCAAGGGAAAAGTTTTGAAAATAATAATAATAATGATAGTAATAATAATGTGTGTCATACCTTTTTCCCTCTGTGAGGAACCCAGAGTACCTTAGAAAACTCTCTTCCTCTCTGTTTTATACTCACAACAAACTTGTGAGATACCTTAGGTAGAGAGTCAGTGTCTGGCCCTAAGTCTCCCGGTGTGCTGTGCAGTCCAGTTGGACTATAGTCTATAGTTCCCAAGTCCCTGCTTATAAAATAGAACTTTTAACAGTGTTCTAGTTCCCCTTTACTCAGCACTGGTTAGGCTTCATCTGGAGAACTGTGTCCAGTTCTGGGCACCACAGTTTAAGAAAGATGCAGGCAAGCTGGAAAGGGTCCAGAGGAGGGCAACAAGGACAGTCCAGGGCCTGGAAACAAAGCCCTATGACATGGGATTGAAAGAACTGGGCATGTTTAGCCTCAAGAAGAGAAGACTGAGGAGAGAGAAGATAGCACTCCACAAATACTTGAAAGGCTGTCATAAACAGGAAAGACAGGATCTCTTCTTGCCCATTCTATAGAGGAGGACATGGAATTATGGGCTCAAGTTACACCAAGCTAGATTCCAGCTAGATATCCAGAAAAGTTTCCAGACTGTTAGACAAGAGACCAATTACTTAGGGAGGTTGTAGGCTCTCCCACACTAGAGGCATTCAAGGTACAACTGGACAACCATCTAAGAGGAATGGTTTAACTTAGTATCCTGCAGTGAGCAGGGGGTTGGACCCAATGGCCTTCTGGGCTCTTCGAACTATTCTATGATTCTGTGTGAAAAAAGAAAAACTTAAAAAAGCCCCTTTATGTGGAAATAGAGGCAAGGAACCTGACAGCTAGAAAACAAGATAATTGATCTAGGCAGTTCAGGCACGATCCAGAAAATTTCTCCCAGGCAAACTTCAATGAAACAGACAGAACTGAGTGAGAAGAATTAGGTACAACCCCTGTTTGTTTCACAGAAGAAGTTCATGGTGGATTGGGCCTTATGTTTGTGTCTAGCAGAGGAGTTTAGCAAAAAAGAAACAGCAGTGCTATTTTGAGACATGCCAGAGTACACTGACAAAGTTGTAAGCGTCTTTGCCAAGCCTCTTTGTAGATTTGCTGTTACTCATTTGGTGCGTTACTTACATTGTGCAGATCTGGCATTTTCTGGGAAGCCTTCACTCATAAACAGCCATGTCTCCTTAATCTGCTATGAAGTGAATCTTTTGTGTGTTTGGACCTATTGGAGGATAGTTCTAAAAATCCTTTACCCACCACAGTCATGAGAGCCAAAAACTTTAATAAGAATTGCAGTGTATCTGATATCTGAGAACATTGAACAGAACCATCCTATGCGTGTTTACTTGGAAATAACTCCCAGTGTGCTCAGTGATGCTACCCTTAATAAGTGTGTTTAGAATTGCAGCCTTAGAGCAAGAAAGCACATTTGCCCTTGTGGTGTTGTTACAGTGCAGGTACCTCATGGTTCCATATCTTTTTTCTTCAATAATTCCATATGTCTTGCTAAGGATAGTTTATGTCATTGGGCAGTGGGAGAGCTCATGGTAATTAAAAACAACATGCAGTGGACCTTGGTTGTGCCTGTTCCATTTCTAAGGTACTTGCTGCCAAGGAAGCTGTGAAAATCAAGCTAATTTTATTACAACCATTAAGTAAAATATGGTGGGGTCATCTTTCTTCTCTAGAATCTGTACATTGTTTTCTTCTGTGTGGATTAGAAATCAGTGTGGGGGTGAAAACAGCTTGAACAGCTGTAGTCCTAATTTTAGGGCAGAAGATTCTGGGAGGGTGGTTTTACATGGTGCTAAGCTGTTATGTTTTTCGGAAAATACCTTTCAAAGAGAGAGTTTGATCCTTCAAGAAATGCAGTAGACATATTTGGATATGATGCAGGATGTTTCTTCCCTTCATCACATTTCTGTTACTCCTTCCTGAAAGCAGTTCAAGTCAACAAGGATGGCCATTTCTCATCCTAGAACACATGCTGTATGTACAGAAGTTCCTCTCTACTCAAAATGGCCAGGTGGTAGGTGAGGGGAAAAACCTCTCCCTGAGAAACAGGAGAATTGCAGCCTAGGCTAGATGGACCATCTGGTTTTGTGTATGGCAGAATTGCTCATATGTTCGTGGGACTGATTGCTAAATAAGAAGGTGGTGCTAAATTTTAAATGTGGTCAAGAGAGATACTCTGCTTGTGGTGGGGTGTGGGGGTCATGCATTCTAGGAAAGGTAGTTTTCTGCGGCAAGTGGAGTCTTGTCTGCAAGCCCCTGCCCTGCCTGCCAGCCTGCTGAGATCTGGATAGGAAAGGCATGGAGCCTCACGGATTCACTTTGGGTGTTTAGGAGGGCCTGTGTTTCCATTGCTCCCTCATTCCTCAACCCAATCTGATTTGGGAAAGAAGGAAGACCAAAAAGAGCTGCTCTTTTGTTCTGAAGAGAACAGTGTTAGGAACAGGCCAGGTGCTTTTTAAATGTTACACCTGCACCGTGGAAGTGCATGATGGTAACATTTAAAGGCTGTGACCGTGCGTGTGTGTGGACAGGTCATGCAGGACCTTAACACAAGGCCTGTGTCTTCACTCCCAGCAGCAGTTCTGATTCTGTGCTAATAAGATGTGTAGTTGGCCCTGCTCAAGTGCTTCTGGTCCTTCTAAGAGCTGTTCCCAGCACTAAGGATGGACCCCTGAGAAAGACTTTGCTTGTAACAGGCACCTCAAAGATGATATGTTTTATTTTTCTTCTAATACCAGAGTTGGACTACTGTTCTGACTTTTGCACGCAGGAGCAAGGGATTACAGATGTGCATGAAAGTCATCCTTTCACCCTTGCAACAGTATTTGGGTTCGGGTTAGAGGAAGCGCAAGGTGGAGGATGTTCATAGAAATGCGGGGACTTGCCTTCTACCAGATCACGCTATTGGGCCACCTAGTTCAGTGCAGTCCCTAGCCCGGTGCCCTCCAGAGGTTTTGCATTCCAAATCCCATCGGCCCTGACTATGGGCCATGCTATCTGGAACTGAGGAGTTGTAGGCTAAAATATCTGGAGAGCACTAAGCTGCGGAAGGTTGGCCTACACTCTCTATTTCAGGCAGGGACTTTCCCAAGCTCTCCCTGGGAACGCTCCAGTTGATCATGAGACCTTCTGAGTACAACACGTGTGCTGTATCACTTGGCTGCAGCCTTTACCCAGTGTCACAAAGTGCAGAACTGGTATCAGTATTCAAAGCTTTGGTGCTTCGGCATTCAAGTCCTTCATGTCAACGCAGATGGTTGGCCGCTGCATGAACAGAATGCTGGACGAGATGAACCCATGGTCTGATCCAGTGTGGTTTTTCTTAAAATTTTTGAGATGATCTCTTTGGTTGAATGGCATGTGGCATTGTGGCGGTAATGAAGAAAGGATGTTACGGATGCCCTGTGGAGACGCTTCAGCTCAGTGGCCAGGGAGTGCACATGGTTAGCTTGAGCGTGCTGAGGGCAGGTGATCTTGCTGCCCAGCCCTGACCTGCTCATCTGTGGCCTGCTTCCTCTTTTCCCTCCTGCGTATCATTTGCAGGTGGCCAAAGTCATCCTTTATTAAGAGTAATAGAAACATCCTAGGTTCGCAGTGCACAGATGTGTGAAATACAGCAAGGGATAAATTCTAGAATGGTGAGTGTCAAAAGTGGGAAATAACTTCTCATTGTGAAAGAAAAGTCTTTTTGAAGGACAAAAGGGGTCCAGACTTGACGCACACTGCCCAATCAAGCACGACAAGTGTGACAGGAGCAAAACTATGTTTTATACTTGAGAATAACTTCAATGATGGCAGAAGGACAATCAACATGGAGCACATAGTGGAGTCCCCTTTTATATTTCTTTGCTGACTGTGTAGCAATGACAGATGTTCATTGGTTTGAAATGCCCACTGCGAGTGCTGATACATTTGAATACAGGTGGTTCCTGTGCTTACCTGGGAGGCTGGGCTACCTGGGGGTTGGGCTAGGAGCTTTGGTAAGGGATTTCTTAATCCCTCACCGTGGGGATGGCTCTGGTTTCACGGATTATGCCTGGGGACAGGACCTGCCTGCCTGGGCTTAATGCTGGCCAGCCAGGTATGTCCAGCATTATGAACAAATTTCTAAGGTTTCATGCTGAAAAAACATCTAAGGTTTCATAACAGAAACTTTTCTCATAGCATAGAAACAGCATGTAAAACCTTGATTCATGCCTTTTATTTTCAAGGCTGTAAAATCTTCACATGCTGACTTTTAAGACTTGATTTTCCCATGGAGAACATGCCAGGGTTATCATGTGCAGACTTAACACCCTAAAAGTTGGGTTTGAGATAGTCGCCCTTGTGCCACAATAATTGCTCTTGCAGATTTGAAACTTGGCAGCCCCATCAGTAGAAGCAGTCAGGTTAAAAATACCTTGGGGGCTGTTTTCTAAGAAATCCCTCTGCTGTTAATAAACTAGAAATAAGTACAGTGTCTGCTTCTCACTTCTTGTAATTTGATACACCGATAGGCAAGCTGATTCCCTGGGATACAGGGAACAAGCTAGGCAAATGCAGGGTGGGTTGCCAAAATTAGTATGGCTCAGCTGCCAGTTATTAGGGTTATAAATTTAGATCTGTAGGTCACTACACAAAACTTTAGCAAGATCTATTGTATGCATACTCCAGGGTAGGGAGTTCTGAGGTCAAGTCAAGGCACGTCTCCAAGCAGCAGTCAACAACTTGTTTTGCCCTGAACATCATTGCGTGCACTGAAGCTAACTAGCATAGTTTACTTACATGCTTTTTGCATAGTTTGGATAACATTTCCAACAGCTCTTTGAAAATAAAGCTGCTACGCTAAGTATGTTAGGCTTACTGTGCAATGCTCTTGCTTCTGTGCTGGGACTCTTCAGACACTTTCCAGTCATGCAGGGGCTTTATCCCACACTTCTGTGGCTGTGCTCAGTAACTGGAATCACCTGGATGGCAAGCAAAAATGTGGGCATTTCCTGTGTTATTGTTGCCTTCCCAGCATGGAGTGGATTAGGTCAAAGGGGGTTTTTCATGCAGCAACATGGGATGAAACTAAGAAAAAGCATCTCAAAGGTCCTAACTAGCTTCTTATAGCCTAAAGTGCTTGATCCTGCCTAATCTTGGAAGCTAAGCATCATTTGGCCTGGTTGAAAGCTGGATGGGTGATTTGAATCCTGTGTTGAGTAGGTGGTTGGGCCTGATGGCCTGCCAGGCCCCTTCCAACTGTATGACTATGATTCTATTATAGATGGTTGTATATGGATGTGCATTTGGGGTCTGCACTCAAGGAACCATGGTTGAAAGAGATTTGAATGGTCCTCAAAGGTGCACCGGCTAATTGCTCTTTTCCCATTGCGTGGGGACTTTTGGAGTTAATGCCAGTCTGAAGTATGATAGGCTGTGATTCGCCGAAGCACTTAACAAGCTCCTCAGACATCCTTGCTTAGCATATGGTGTGGAAGCTGCATGTCAAATGTCACTCATTATCTGTGTCAACCATGCACGTGCTGCGAAACACAGGTATGTGTGTGTGCGCGTGCATGTAAATAGTCACACAAGATGTTCTATGCCCTAGTTTTGTTTATTTCATTCCTGGAAGTGCTTTTAGTGCAGGAGAAAATGTAAGTGCATGAAACAACCCTTGCTCTGTCCTGGCCTCCAGTAATCACAGTAAGAGTCACCATAAAACCCCTTTAATTGCAGTTATTCTTTTTGTGAGCTCACAGTTCTCTCAGAGACAATCACAAGCTATAAGTTCAGGCTGACAGGGAGCATTGAGTGCCTCTCTGAGCATGCAGCCTATGAATGCAGTGCTAGTTCCCCCCAAACAGAGTTTGCACTGACAGTTTCATTCCACTCTCGTTTTTCCACCAGCAGCTGGAAGCTTTACTGTGTGGCAATAGGTTGTTTCTTTAAAGGGTCTGAGAAGGCATGTCATGAGCAGAGATGGCTGGTTAGGCTAGATGGTCCGGGAGGCCCCTTCTGACTCTCTCTGTTTTCATGTTTCTAAACTTCCCAGGTTTATATACAGGGGAGTGGCCTCTGAATTGCAGTTTAGTCTTTGAGCCTGGCAAGGAAACTGTGGATACGCCTGGCTGGCCCTCCTCACAGTGGCTTCCCTCTGCCCCATCCCCTTTAGCTGACTGTAGACCTGAGGTGGCTTCACTACAACACCTTCTCCTACAGAGCCCTCCTCCTGCTGCCCCGTTTCCAGGGATGATGTCAGGCAGGCATCTCTGTCAATGCTGAGTCTTCCAGATGTGGTGGATTAGCTGGATTAGTCTCCAGTGCTGCCACCTCCCTTGTCCACCAGGTGGGGTGTGGGGAGGGGACGGAAGGGGACAGACCAAGCTGGACTGTCAGGATTCCTGCCACCCAGAGTTGGTTAGAGACTACCCCCTGCTTCTCTGAGCCAGATCATTGTGTCTGAGGTAGAAGCTCTGCCTGGACTGGGGCAAGATTTGAGGTAGGATTCCTAGAACTTGAGGAAGAACTCTTAGATCTTGTGCTCAACAAGAAATGTGAATAAAGTTTGCGGGCTGCAGCATCTTATATTTCACAAAATAAATGTGAAGTCTGAGTGATTTGTACTTCATTTGAGCATTTGCCAACCAGTAGTGGCTGTTTTTATTCTAATACACCAGCTGTTGTTGTTATCCACTTGTCAAGTCATCTCTGCCTTATGGTGACCCTATGAACGAACGAACACCCTCCATAATGTAGTGTCCTTGACAGCTGTGCTCAGCTCATATGCTGTGCATTCAAGGCTGTCCATTCCTTTATGGAATCGGTCCATCTCATAGTTGGTCTTCCTCTTCATCTGCCTTTACTTATATAAATACATATGCAAGCTGTCTGTAAGGGATAGCTATCTATGTACTGTGTATATAAACCAATCAAGCAGGATACAGGTCAGAAGAGAAGATCACAACATTGGATTCCTTGCAAGAGGAAAAAATGGATTTAAGCGCAATTTAGCAACAGCAAGAAGAGGGACCACAAAAACAGAGCATTAAATTTACTACAAGGAATGAAGAGGACCCACTCAGATACGTGGAAGGAGAATGAAGGTGTTTGTGCATATGAGATATCCCACTATCCTCATAACCTGTAAGGCAGGTTAGGCTGAGGGACTGTTCCAAAGCCATTGGATGAAGGTCACAGCTGAAAGGTGATTTGAACACTAATCTAAATCAGCACTCCTGTCATTAGACAACTGCAACTCTGCTTATGCAGAGAAAAGGCCTACAACTCCCAGAATGCCCCAACCAGCCACTCTGGTTGTAGGACTTTTCACTGTCTGAATGTGGATAGGATCATGCATTAACCAGGCTGTGCTGCGTACGAAATATGCAAAAATAACGACTATGTTTTTGGTCAACTTCAGCTAACTTCCCCCATTTTAGAAGCTCTTCCCCATTTTGGTAGCGTGTGATTCATCAGTCCGCTTTGTGCACCATGGCTCTGCTTATGGACCCCCTGGCGCTATGTTTGTTGTAAGATGAATATCCGTGCAAGTCTGATGGTGCTTGCAGATGTGGATGTCCAGAAATCGCCTTGCTAGCGCACACCATGTGCATTCACAGAAGCTGATTTTGAACATTTGAAATCACTGCACTGGAGTGTTTTAACTATTTTTGTTTGTTGTATATTTAAGACTATTTTTTTGTTACCTGTCCTTTGGAAACTAGACACTTGTGTATCCCATTGTTAGATGTGATAAAACTCTTTATTACATTCAACATGTTCCTCTGTCCCAATCCTTTAGGAAAGTATTCCCTCTTCAAAGCAGCCTCTGACAGACTTGCCTAATTAATTGCAGGAACAGTGTTCATTTAGCTGGGACTGGGGCCCCTCTTTTCCCACCCAAGGAATTTGGAAGGATGTTAGAATTGAAGCATATAATCTTTGTCGCCTCGTCTATTTCTCTGTGACTCCTCACTATGGTAAGTTTTACTGCCTCAAATGTTTATAGCAAAAGCGTATAAACAAAAGCAGGTACATGAGGATGGCTTTTCTTCAATGGTGATTCAATAGGAATGCCTTTTCTGTGCGTGCCCCAAAGCCACCTAACCAGTCTCTGGAACTGTCTTGCTGCTTCATCAAGGTGGGCAAACAGTTTGGTGTAATGTGAAAATAGCCAAATTCAGCCTTCACTGACTGGAGGCCCTCTAGGTGTGCCTACTACAACTTCCACCAGCACCAGCTAGCATAGCCATTGGCCAATGACTATGGTGACTGGGGATGGTGGAAGTTGGAATCCAGCACATCTGAAGGGTACCAGGTTGCCATTGTGCATACATGATGTTGGACTAGATGTACCTATCTCTGGAGTTTTAGCTGTTTTTAATTTCTTTTTATTTTTATTTTTTGGATTTTGGAGAACTATTATGGTATTTTATTGTATAATCTGTTTTATAAACTGTTGTGAACTGGTCAGGGAGCTTTGGCTATTTGAAAGTATAGAAATGAAAATGATAATAATTTATTTCCCACTTGCTCATTGATTTTCCTAAAGGAGGTTGACCTGAGATGCTCAGGTAATGCCCAGGCCTGTCCACAACCTGCAGGAAAATGAGCTGGTAGAATGGAGTGTTGTTGGGGATATTCTAGTTGTAAATGCTCCTCCACATCAAAGATATATATTCATTTATTTGATTTGTACCCCATCCTTCTACCAAGCAAAATGGCAGTCAAGTCACCTTACAGTCATCCATCAATATTTGCACACAGACAACTAGTACTTCAGGGAGGAGAAAACTGGCAGCTGGTTTTCTGTGGCAGTGTGTTGATGTCAGCAAAGATTCACAACTGGGATTGCTCATCTGTGATGTGAAACGTTTCTCTCCCCTCATTCTGCTGCATGTGTAAGATCAGGCTTACCACTTGGATTAATAGGTTGGGGTGTGGTGGTGAGTCTGAACTAGAACCAGATCTAGTGAGTAGCAGTTTGTGGCTTTACTGGCTAAGGTGCTTGCCTGGTTGTCTCCCTTCCATAGTTGTACTTACGCCAGAGGAAGAGGCAAATGGAAACAGGAGGCTACCATATTTCTTAAAGCAGCCACTTGGGCAATAAAAAGGGGACCTGGCTTCCTGCATTTAGCTCCACACGGGATCTGTCTATTGTGTGCTGAGGAGATATTAGAAAAGCTTTGGCAAGGGACAGGTAGTTTGTTCCAGCATAGTTGGAGGCCCGCAGAAACACTCTGCTGGGAATGCTCTGTGAATGAGTCATTCTCTGAGCTGGAGGACTTTTTGAGCTACTGCAGGGAACCTTCCCAGTTATTAGCATGCTGATGCGTCTAGCACACTTGAGTAGCCAAAGAGAAACAGCCACAGGCCCCACCAAATCCATACACAATGGCTTCAATTCATTCCCTCCCTCCAAAGGCCTACAGCAGAGAGAAATTTCACGCATTTTCTTTGAATGCAGCATTTGTTCAGCATACAGAAGTGGCTATACTCTCCAGAAATTGCAATCTTTCCCCAAAACAGCTGTGTTCAATACGTGGACAGAATAAAAGCAAATGTAACAGATGGAGAAAAACTCTTCATAAGCCACCATAGAGCTCTAATTTCTCCCAAGGCTTTGTTCGCATTCAATGGCTACTTGATCCTAAGGTATTCTCTGCAGTGTGTGTGCATGTACTTTGAGTCTAAAATTAATCTTCCTAGGGTTAATTTTCTGTCAGTGACTCTAATTTAGCCTTCTTCAACCTGGTGTCCCCTAGATATGTTGGACTGTAGTTCCTCTCTCCCCTAGCCTGTTGGACTAGGGTCAGAGCTAGCTGGGGATAATGGCAACTATAGTGTAACCCATATGCAGAATGCCAGGTTGGGGAAGGCTGCTCTGTATCAATGAAATTTTGCACTTGTCTTTCCTGCAGGAGCGCAACCGCAGTCTCGGCCATCTCCACCCCCAGCACGATTGCGCCCATCTCTACCCCCCCAGCACACCCGCGTTCACACCCATCTCCCTCCCAAGCACACCCGTGTTTGTCTCTCCTCCCCCCGCCCCCAGTGCGCCAGGATGGCGGATGCGTGCAGGGGTGATGGGCGCGATCGCGGTTGTGCAGTGGTGGGGTGGGGAGATGGCCGTGCTCGTGCTTGGGGTGAGGGGAGGGAGATGGCCGCAATCTTTGTTGTTCTTTGTCACTTTGCTTCACATTTTTCTTATTGGAAAAATAGTTGCAGAATGGATTAACCTTATTGACACTGAACCTTATGGGGAAATTTAACTTGGCTCACAAACAGTTTGGGTCGCAACCAGAGTCCTGGAATGGATTAAGTTTGTGAGCCAAGGTACCACTGTATTATTCAAAATGGCCACCAGCTCATGCTGGTGGGATGTGGTGACTATGCAGCTAGGGCTTTCCTTTCAGCCTGACCAGACCCTGGGCAAAAGGGTCTTACCTGGTAGGGTACTCTGGCAATGATGACTCGGGTGAGTATTCCACTTGATCTGCTGGTGATCTTGAGAGCCACAAGATGAGGGTAGCTATTCAGAGCCAAGGGAGTGTTTAGCAGGGAGCCAAAAGGCTTCTCCATGGTCTCCAAGGGGGACTCTTCAAGTTGTGTCAAGTTATCTTTAGGAGTTCAATTTGCTGCAGAATCCCAGTCCTTCTCCAGAGAGGCTTGTCCTGCACTTGGGTCGTCTGGCAGCTTGACAAGCCAATAGCCACTCTGGGGTGGAGGTGGAGATTTTCATTGGGATCATTGCACTGCACCCATCCTGTTTGAGCAATCCTGTGAGCAACTGGTTGCCACCATGTGCACAGAAGGCTGGGCTTGATGGACCTTTGGTCTGTGCCAGCATGGCTTTCTATGTGTCTCTGTTTAAGGTCTGTGTGTTCTGAACTGATCTTCCTTCTGTCTGTTACTTAGAAGCGGCAGCAAGTTATTTTAAAAGCAATAGCAACATTTCAGCTACAGGCAGCCCTGCAATTGTAGTAATTGGGAGCAAGTCATTATGATTATGGAAAAGGGTTCGATCTACCCCATGTGTATCTCATCTTTTTCCTAAAGAGCTCAAGATGGGATATGAGTCGCTTTTTAAAATCCTGAAACAATAAGCATCATCTCCCGTCTACCTTGTTTTTGTTTCGTTCAGCACAAAACCTTCAGCTGTGGAGCCTCGAAATAGAGTCGGTTTTTGATGTTGTCAGCAACAAGTCGGTGGGTGGTCTTGTGATGGTGAGCATTCCTGAGCTGCAGACCTGGCAGGCACTCCCTGTGCAGCTTCATCCTGAGGAAGGTGTGATCACACTGCTCATTAACATCAGTAAGGTGAGGCCTGCAGATACGAAACTTTTACCTCCTGCTTGGAAATCAATGCAGTGAATTAGTCTTTGCTAATAAGAGCAGAAAGGTTATCAAGTGACTCATTTTATTATCAATATCGTGCATGTTCATACAGAATGAGGGGCAGAATCCTGGGAAGGGTAAGCAATTTTAAATAAACTGGTTTTCAGTGGGACATATCAATATGTGCTTACATTCCTTCCATGCACTTCAAAGTGCCTTAACCTGCCTTAATCACAACCAGTGGTGTTCACCTGTCTGAGGAGGAGGCAGGGGGCAGAACCAATGCACTTCTATTTTTTAAGTTTCTTTTAAAAGATTTTTCTCACCACAGGAAGCCAAGTATCTCTTGTCAAGTTTGGACATACACTTGAGTCTGTTGATGCTTCTGCTCCTCTTTTGGTACTGCCTGCATCACATGCATTTCTTCTCTTATCAAGTTTCCTTAAGGAGATTTTTTTTGGGGGGGGGAGTGATGCAGAAAACTCATGTGCTTAAATTCCACATGTTTTCCTCATGGTGTCACAGACTTCTTTGTATTATGAATATTTACCACATATTGTTTTTGTGCCACATTCCCCTGTCTGTGCTCATTGTTTTATTTTCAGTAATAATATAAATGTTCTTCCTGATTGAGCTTGATCGGGTAGGAAGGTACATTGGGTGATTTGTGACTTAAAATGCTGAATACAGAGATGTTAATTACAAGTTAAAAGAGCTGCTGCTTTTTGTTCATTTTTATCTTCTTCTTCATCTTCCAAGGTGACAGGCAGCTTTCCTTTCCACTTTTACAGTAGAACAGTCCTGTAGTTTGGGTTAAGCTGAAAAGTAGCAACTAGACCAGGGTCATCCAGAGGGCTACATAATTGAATGTAGATTTTAATCTAGATCTTCCGGGTCCAGTTTGATGCTCTAACCCAGCTTTCCCCAACCAGAAGCCTTTGGCTCCAACCTCTATAGTACCAGTCAGCAGAGCCGGTGGTCAAGGATTATGGGAGCTGTAGTCCAAAACAGGTGAAGGCCTCTCTAACCACTACACCACTGTCTCTCATGTTGGACCTTTTGGCATGACAGTACTGTGTGGGGGCAATGAGGAAGCAGGAATTGTCCCAGAGTGAGGCCTGAATACAGACAGCAGATGTAAAAACATCTGTATTATTGAAAAATTAATTAAACCATATGTGGAACTGAGAACCAGAATATAAATGCTAAGGAAATGATTTATTCCTCTGTTGTTTGTTTCTTTTGGCAGAGAAAACTCAGTCCCATAATAACTTTTATCAGAATGATGGTAAATGTTTCCTTTCCAGAGCTGTGTTGTGGGCTTGCTCCAACAGCACGGGCAAATATTCCACTTGCTGTCTGGAGAGCCAATCTTCCTTTGTAAACTTGTATGTAGTACCTGAAATTAGTTCTTATGGTTCTTGTGTGAAAAGGCTGCAAAGTGTCTAAGGATATTTTGTTTAGCTGTAGGAGGACTCCAATCTGGAATGGGCCTTGAATCTTGAAGTTCTAAGGAGTTTAGGGAACAAGAACAGGGCTTCTCCTCCCATTGCCTCTACCATTGAGCATCTATCCTTTTATTGCCCCAACAGTCATGCCCATTGATATCACAAAGCCAGAGCTGATGTTAATGTTTGACAAAGGTTTTCCTTCATGGGATAATGCGTTTACACTCAAGGAGCATGACCCAGATCTCTGGGAGGTGTTGCTGGACATACAGGAATATCATGTGCTTAGGGGACCATTAATAAACAGTGCATTTCCTAATTTGTAAAGGCAATAGAATTGTCCTTGTACATGTGGCGTGTCTGTATTTAGGCTTTAGAGGTTCCACGTGTGCAGCTAGATCACCAAGATCACTGGAATAATTGCTGTGCACAGAGTCAGGTCACAGGTGGGGGAAAATCTATAGTCTTCTAAGTTACAAACTCTTCCCTCTTTGGTTGCTTGAGCAAGATTCTTCTCAAGTTAGGTGGCCAAAAAAGTATCTATTATCAAGCCTGAACATACGGTATGTTGAGTCTACTGATGCTTTTACTTTTCATTTTGTATTGATTGTGTGGCCTGCTTTCCTGTATTTAATAAGTCTCATAGCCTTATGAAATACAAGGATCCTTATGTTCTTTCCTCCCTCTTCCTCACTTTGTGCTCAGTGAGGGTTTTTATGATGGATACCAGCAGCTATGCTTCTCAGATCTGGCCCAATTGACAGGGATGATTACAATAGTTGTGAATTGCAAACAGAAGTCCTGTGGTGTTAACATCTTCTTTCACCCAAACAGTATTAAACATCACCATTATTTTTCAGAACATAATTCCAAGGGCAAGTCATCTGCAAAATAGAAATAACTAGCGAGGCCAACAAATTTCGTAATTAGTCATCTCATCAGTTGAAGCTCTTCATTCTGTAAATGCTCATTTCTGTGGGACATCTGGATCAAAGTATTATAAATTCGCTATGAAATTGGGAATTGATTGTGAGCTTTGGAGCATGCTCAGTAGAATAGTACAGAGATTTCTTTCCTCCCGAATCTTCAGTCATCTTACCACCTAGACCCCCTCAAAATTACTTGAAGCCATTTCCTCAGCTACCTCTGTCAACATTGGCATGTGAGAAGGAGCTGCTCTTTGCAGGGTCCAACTTGGTGCCAGCAGTAGCAAATAAGCAGCTCATGACAGCATCACACCAGCAAGCTGCGTATAAACAACCAACAAGAAAGGGGGCATAATGTGGCAGCTTATCACAACCGTGCTGCTTTATGCAATGCCATGCAACAACTTGCAGGTTACAGAAAAACTTGTACATATGGAACAAGAATTCATATTGAAGGAGCGTTTCATCCAAGACCATGTGGATAAATTCATTACTTCCTGGGTAGATAATCTATTCACTGGGGGTAAATTCACCCTTCCTGGGAAGTGAAATGGAATGGAAAGGTTTGGGGACAGAGGAAGGCTGAGTCTCTAAAAGCCATACTAAGAAGTCAGAGCCTGCAATGTCTCGCCTGCTGTAGTAGCTGGGTGCTTAGGTATGATGCATTTGAATTGGAAGGGAGAAAAGGAATATTTCAAAACTGCTCACATGCATTGGCAGATGGACTGTACGGTCACAGTAACACCTTTTGTTTCCAGCTTGCCCTCTCCATGGTGGATTGCCTTCTCTGAATCTGTTGATGTCTCTAGAGCACATCAGAAATGTGCTTTTTTTTTTTTGGAAAGGCATTCATTTCCCATAATGTATGCCCTGGGTCACAATCTTTTTAGTAAACCATAGGAAATGGACTGTTCAACAGAATTCATTTCTGGTTAGCTTTTCAGAGATGAAACTGCTTGAGATACCATAGCCCTCTTAAAATGTGTAATTCCCCCCTCCCCACCACCAAAATTGAGTGCACATAGTGTTTCCCAGCTAAGAAATAGCAAATGAGTGAGCAGCGGTATGACATCATTAGCAGCCAATGAATACGCTCCAGCAGTGCCTTTGCTTCTAAAGCAATTCTTTATTTTACATAGCACAGTGGAAGGTACATATTAATAATGCCTTGTTCTCTGTATGAGGGATACATGGGTATTTACATGTTACTGGTTGACATAATTCCAGATAATTGAAGGTGGAACTTCAGTGGCTAAGCTATATAATCATGCCTTAGTAACAGGCATGACAACTCCCATTGTTAAACTGTTTTCTCCTTCCTTGCTGACTGTGAAATAGTCTGCACTTTAGTGTTCATACGTTCAGCATTGATCCACCCATTGGAATGTCTACAGTCGTATACCTTTAGGCTGTTTACCCAGTAATTCATAAAATTACTCTATTGACATTTATTTTTACATCAACAGAGCTATGGCTTTTGTCTAAAATAAGCCATCAGCTGAAAGACAACTGGATTATAAAAGCCCAAGTCACTTTTATTAATTTCACCCATCATAGTGTTTATATATCAGGTGGGGCTGATTCTCAGATGCAGTAAAGGGTGAGGTCACACTAGGAATGCCTCCCGTGTACGAGTATCATCAGAAAGAGTGGGAGCTTTGCAAGAGCACATGCAGTTTGCACAGAGCATCAGGACAAGTGCTATTCAAACTGTCTTGAATATTGCATGTATGGATTCTGTAAAAAGATTGCAGTTGAGCATAGCAACAGCCATTCTCTGCCCTCTAACAGAAGACCCTTTGTTCTTGATTCTAGCCAGTTTAGAATAAGAACTTTCTAGCACAAATTGGGGTTTACAGATGGATTCCTCCACCTGCTCTCACCCCAGCTCTCCAGAACCCTTCCTTCACAGTGCTATGTAATACTGATGGGCTTGTGATCAGGGCTTGCTGTCTGAACTTGTGAATTTTATTGCTGTGAAGCTGGAGTGGAAGAGAACAGTATGCAGAAAATACCAAATCCAGATAGGCTTCAATACTTCATAAAACAGTACAGGACCAGGACAATTTGAGGCATCTTTCCTGGTCCCAGGCACCCATCCTTCCCACCTGGATTTATGCCTGAAAGGCCATGGAAAAGGGTGAGTGCACAGAGGTCAAGTTGTAAGTAAACACAGTCTGTGAAACTGGACAACATAATCACTGATCATGGAACCTGGATGGTTAAGGCAGCAGCCTTAGTACCCAATTTCCTGACTTTGTGGAGGTTGGTCCACCATGGGATTGTCTTGAGTCTTTTAAACTGGCAAGATGTTTTTTTGAGGGTGGGGGGGAGATAATTGAATGTCCCTGTTTTTGTTTAAAAAAGGAAATTTCTTCCCAGGGGACTATATCAGCTGCCTTGCACGTCAACTCATAGAATACATGAAATGTAAATTTAAAAACAGCAGCAGCTGCTGCAGCAACAGTGTTGCTTTAGAAAAGCATTTGTTGGTACTTCCTGTAGCCCCTAGACCAGTACTTTCTGTACGTATACACAAACATTAAAGTAAAGGACCCATGAGGAGCAGGACTGCGCTTATCACCCCATGGCCCCTCCAAAATGCAAATCAATAGGTAGGCAATTGTGGAGGGTAAGGGGTTGCAGTCATCTCTGGGACTTGGGCAAGATGGTGCCCATCTCTTATCTCACCCTCTTTCTCACCAGCTCATCTGCAGGTCTGCTTTGCACTCAGCTAGCAATAGCCTCTTCTGCGTTACCTTGCACCAAATGCTTGAAGCCCTGCCCTCCACTTCCTGCCACTACATGTTCTGCACCAATTCACTTCCATCCTCACAAGGCTTTGCCCACACACCAATGGCTGAAACTTTTCTGGCTGGACCACCTGCAACTTATTTCTGCCTAAGCCCTCTCTCTGCTAGGGGGCAAAAATGGCACAGGATTGTTCTGAACATAATGATCATAGACAAGACAAACAAACAGAGCCCTGTCAGACAGTGGGATGGAGGCATATAGGAGTAGAGTGAAGGGAAGTAGGGCAGAAATGTTTGAATATGATGGTATATTATGTGCCCTGTGATGTTGTATGACTGATTTCAGAGTGGCCCTTCTTTTCACTACTGTATATAGGACAAGGGCAAGTCTATTTATTCCAATTAATTTTAGTAAAAGGAAGGATTGCCTCACATAGCACATTGTTAAACTATGGGATTCGCTTTCATGAGATGCAGCATTGGCCATCAATTTGGATGGCTTTAAAAAGGGATCCAACAAATTTACAGAGAGGGCTATCAATGGCTACTAGTCCTGATAGCATGTTACTATCTCTAGTATCAGAGGCCGCAAGTCTGCGTACATACACATATCCTGCTTGGGGGAACCTGTGGGCAGCTGGTTGGCCATTGTGTGAACGGAATGCTGGACTAGATGGGCCCTTGGGCTGATGCAGATGGCTGTCAGGTTCCCCTCGTCACCTTGAGAGGTATGGCTTGGAAAGGCTTTTCTTGATGCAACATTGCCTCTGTGCCTTCCTGTCAGTGTCATCTATCTAGAGTTGTGGCAATACCTCTTAGCCCACTGTTATTTCCTGTCTCAAAGCCAGAGGTGAAGAATGCTACTGTGTGCCAGAGACATTGCTGTGAGAATTCAGCTGGCTGCTTGACATCCTTTTTATTTGCCTACGGGACAAGCTGGCCTTGTACCCAGAAGAGGCAGAAGGGTGCACTTACCTAAAACAGTACTTAATTAAGGAAAAGCTTGGCCTTCATACTGAGCAGTGTGAGGAACTACTTTGAGAATATGGATTTCTGGTTTTAAAGTGTCAGGATGTCATTCTTTTAACATCTCCCATAATTATATAGACAATTTTCTTCATCATACTTTCTTATACAAGTGCAGATTTGGAATAAATCTTTTGCCATTCTCATCAGCTGCAATGCTTGGGGTAGAAGTGGGGCTAGGGAAGGTCACCTCAACCTGATCGGTGCCTCAGTATCGCCATGAACACTTAAGTGGGAATCCATGGCGCCTTGGGGGTGGAGAGAGGGGCAGAGAAGGGAGCAGAACTTGTAGCTTCTTCATTCTCTGTCCAGCCTGACCTGGATCATTGCTTCACCACTGCCATTAGCTGCAATCTGCATGGCCTCAGAAGTGAAAGGACTGGAAGACCAGGAAAGTGAAGGGGCTGCCCGCCTGCCATCAGGGTGAAGGATGTGGCAGCAGGGAAGATTCGCTGTGGCCTGGCAGGGTGAACCAGGTCTGGGAACCAACATTTCTAAGCGTGACCATTTCTTCCCCGCTCTCCCCAATGTTCTAGACCAGTGGTGGCGAACCTATGGCATGTGTGCTGCAGCTGGCACACAGAGCCCTCTTTGTTGGCACGCGAGCCAAGTCGCCCCAGCATCACCCCAGCAGCCGAGCATCGGACAACAGCGCCCATAGGGGCCAATGTGCATGCTTGGAAAGGAGTAGTGGCGCCAGGTGTCAATGTCACAAGCCATGACTCATTAGCCACGACTCGTCCGAGCTTTTGCATGGCCGGTCAGTGCACTTCCAAGGATATATATATATTTGCTTCGACTGGCTGTGAGTTGTTTTTTCCAAACTAAAACCTCAGTTTTCAGGTTTTATTGCAGTGTTGGTACTTTACGATAAATAAGTGGGTTTTGGGTTGCAGTCTGGGCACTCGATCTCTAAAAAGTTCACCATCACTGGGTTAGGGTTAGAAAAACGAGATGTCCTGGCATGATTTTGATGGTTGGAATGTGTTTACAATGGGCAGAAATGATGAGCTGTGTAGAAAAAGCTATTCCGGGAAGGCTTTTTCAAAATCACCCTCTTTTCAATGGAACATTAACCCTTTATTAGAGTTAGGGGTGTGCACCAGGGAAGGGTTGAGGTTAGAAAAAAGAGGTGTCCTGGCAGGATTTTGATGGATAGTAGGTGTTTAGAATGGGCAGAAATGATGAGCTCTGCAGAAAACGGAACTCAAGGAAGAAAATCGCCCTATTTCCAATGGAACTTTTGCCCTATATTAGGGTTAGGGGTGTGCACCAGGGTAGGGTCAGGGTTAGAAAAATGAGGTGCCTAGTCATGATTTTGATGGTTGGAATGTGTTTAGAATGGGCAGACATGATGAGCAATGCAGAAAAAGCTACTCAAGGAAGGCGCTAAATAAGTGGATTTTGGGTTGCAGTTTGGGTACTCGGTCTCTAAATGTTTGCCATCACTGTTCTAGACAGTCACAGAAAGGCATGAAGGAAATTCACCTGCAGCTGTATGTCATTATGAAAGTTGCATGCTCTCATTAATGGTTAAAGGCTTATGAAAATGTGAATGTGCTGGATGGGTTGATCATTATCGTATTGTCAAGACTTGCTGATGCTCAGAACCTCTGCAGAGGTAGAGGTCCAATTAAGATGCTCCACCTCAGGAGGCTGATTGATCTATAGGGCTTGCTGATGGCTCCAGCAGATTTTGCTATGTTATGGGACACTTTTCAATGTGTACACCCTTGAATCATTGGAGAGGTGAGAAATACAATCTAGATCCTTGCCCTTTCTGGCTCATAAAAACAGTCAGAGGAGGACGGCCCAAGTGAGAATGCAGTGTGGCTACTACCTTCTTTAATCAAGACAGAGTCCCAGCCTGCTTGAATGAGGCAGGTGTGAGACCTGTGCTGAAAATTTCCCCCCAGGTCTCACTGTATTAGATGATTATCAGCCAGTCTCTAATATTATATTTTTAGGCAAGGTATTACAGCATCTGGTGGCCTCCTAAATCCAGGGATTCCTGGATGAGGTAGAGGATCTAGATTCATTTCAAGTCTGGCTTCTGACTTGGGTATGGGACAGAAACAGCTTTGGTTGCCTCGCAGTGGGAATTGGAGGCACAGTGAGCTCAGCCCTGGAGAAAAGCAGTGCTATTCCAGAGCCATCATACTACTCAGTCAGTATTTTATTTAAAATCAGGTGCAAACCTTCCCCCCACCTTGGCCTACAATTCTATTTATTTATTGACAAACAGACTGGTGAGAGGGATTGGAACTGATGCAAAATTTGGAAAGGCAGAAAAACACCACTTGTCTAGGCAAGGGATAAGGAAGGTGCAGTCCTTCAGTTATTGATGAACTGTAATTCCCATTGTGGCTCACAGTGTGGGTAACAAAGCATGTGCCAGAAAGCAATCTGGCTGCTGCATTTTGCAGTAGCTGTGGTTTGCAGAACTCTTCAAAGGCAGCCTCGTGTGGAATGCATTGCACTAATCACAATGGCAGGTGATTAAGGCAAAGATCAGTGTGAGCTGAAGTGCCTTCTCTTTTTATCTTTAAATCCTATTTCTTTATTTTCTTTGGTGGGGGAAAAAAGAGTGTGGCTCTGGAGACTTGGTGGCCAAGAGGACATGGAAACCAGACTGGATACAACATGACGGCAACATTCATTCTAGAAGGAGGATACAAGATTGAGAAGTTTTCAAAGGTATGTCAGCTATCCTGCATGGCAGTAGTCTGATGCAGAGGTGTGGAATCAGCGACGAAATCCACCCCTTTTGGGGGGCCAGTCCTATTCTAAATGGCCCCTGCCTGCCCCTCCCCTGGTATCAATTGTTCAACCATTTCCTGGCTTTTGGGCATTTCCCCCAAGCCTAAAAGATTGAAATTCCTCTGCTAAGGCTTTGTACTGACACTAAGAGCTTTAAGCTAAAACATGCTGGCATTTTTGGCCCTGCCCCTGTTTGAACACTGCCCCCAACAATGACACTTGGTTCTCTAGCTGGAAGAGGTTCAGCACCCCTGGTTGTGTGCCTCCTCTCTTCTGTGCTCTCTGAGTGAGATTGCCTGCGAGCTCGTTCACTCTTGGAAGCCAGAGGCTCCTAGAAATTAGAAGATGACAGAAATCCTTGTGCTGGCAGTCACCTCTGTTTAGCATCTGCATTACCAGTCACACTGGGAGACAAATTGCAGCTACTTTCAAATTTAATGAAGGTGTTTCATTAAAATGTTTGCAGCTCCATTTTCTGAGTTCCTGCACTCGTGCTGCTTCTGAGCCAACCACTAGGCCTAGAAACCTCAGCATGTGGTATCTGTAACATGGAGAGGCAAATTAAAGCACTGTAACTTAGTTATGAAAAACATACCAGGCAAGCAATAGAACAGTGTTGAGATGAGATACATCGACAGTTCATAATCAAGAGAGTGCTCTGAAGCTCCTCTAGTTAATTTGAGCTCTCAAAGAATAATAATCAGTGTGTTAAAACCCCATTTTAGTAAGTTTGCACAGTGCAAGAGGACATTTGGCACTTAGGATAGGCATGAGTCAGGCTGTGCAAGATGAATATGATCTGTACTCATGGCACAATTCATCTCGGGGTATTGGAAAGCATTAATACCTAAATGATTTCATTTGAACAGAAAGGAGGAACATGGTGGTAGGTAGAGCATTTGACTGCTGCCTTTTTTCTAGTTGTTGGAAATAATTGTGTTCTCCTAACCATCAGGATGGTTGCTTCTCATTCTGTGTGTGTGTGTGTGTGTACAATGAAATTAAGACCTTAATGGGTTAATGCTTTCCTGAATGCATTAACAAAGACCCTTGTTGTTATATAGAGTTAAAAACAGCTGTTAAAAATGGCAACATTAGGTATTGGTTTTACACATCTTTCTCCCAAGTGCCAAAGGACTCCTTTATGCTGTCTCTGCTTTTATGTTGAGTAGGAGTTAAGTGCAATGCTTAGAATAAAATATAGGCCTGTAAGTGTATGTCTGAAATAAAGTAAAAATATAAATTAGAAACCCACTATCTGAATGGATAAGTATTTAACAGTATAGATAATTCTTTTCCAAAGTGGTGTCCTCCAGTTGTTTTGGATCACCATCTCCAACATTACTGATTTCCATTTGGGGTTGATGGGAGCTCTAGTACAAGATATCTGGAAGACACCATGTTGGGGAAGGCTGGTATAGACAGACTTGCTAGTTCTTGTTGCTTTTCTAATTTCTTTTAATTTTCATATGCAAGGCTCTGAACTGAACAAGTTGTTTTGCTTTGGGCTTCAAAGATATGTTGCCATTCCTTGAAGAAGATTACTTATTCTTGTGCTCAGAAGGCTTTGGACTTATGAGAAAACTGAATGGCAAAAATGAAAAAAGAAAGTAGGAACAAACAAACAAAAAAGGCTTTGCACATCAAAGGACACCTGACTTCATTGTCTTACTTTCCAGATGCTGGGAAAACAACTTGGTTTTCTAGTTTTGAGTAGGCAACAAAAAGCTGAAAGTTGTTAAGCTCATAGTTGTCTACATTTATGGTTCACAAGTACAGATTTTCCAGAAATACAATCTGTTCTCTGGAATGTAAGGGAGTGATTTTGCTATCCTTCAGACTTTCACTATGTGGTCCCTGCCAGATGTTGTGGACTACACATCCCATCAACCCTATGCTGGCTGGGGCATGTTACAAATTGTAGGCCAACACAGGTGGCAAGCACCAGATTAGAGAAAGCTGATCTACTTTGGGCAGAACAGGGCTGGGGAATGTGTGGTCCTCCAGATATCTTTGGGCTAAATTCCCATCAGACTCAGTCAGCACAACCAGTGCTCAGGACTGAAGGGAATCTGAGTTTAACAACATCTGGAAGACTGCACCACTGCTTTAGAACCAATGGGCTGACAGCTTTTGGTGTTGTTGGTGTCACTAAACTGTGGATGAATTGTTTAATTCTACCATTCATGTTAGAGTATTCTCCTTTCTCTCTGGTACTCCATGATGGATTTGGCTATTTCATCTCCTATTGCTATACCTGAAAAAAACATGTAGGGATGCCTTACTGTTTGCTATGCTGACTGGGGATGATGGGAATTTTCATCTAAATACCTGGAGGAAACTGAGTTGACTGGCCCTGTGATACATAAATGAAAACACTTCTATTAAAACTATGAAGTTTCCAAAAAAATAAAAAAAGGAAGAAAGATTCCTCACTCTTCCTTTTTTCTCAGCTAAGCTAATCACTCTTTCCAGCTCTTTTTCTATCTCTTTGTCTTGAATTCTGATCAGGAGAGGCCTGGGCCTCTTTTAAACTTGGCCTTGGATTTCTGTAGCTTTCTGTAAATGTAGCTTGATTGCAAGCGTGTTCAGTTTAACAGTTTCATTAGATTTCCCTCAGTAATCGCAAGCAGGCTGTGTGGGTGTTTGCAGCACTGGAACATGTTGTCTATTCGGGGAGTGCATATGGAGCAAGGCACTGGGACCTTCCAGAAATATCCACTTTGCAGCTTCTTCTCCAAATGATATTAGTTTGAACAATATCCAAGAGTTAACTTCAGGAAATTTTGTGTTATTTAAATTCTTTTAGGGTGTTCATTTGTGTTTGATTGCACTGACTGTGGTTTATTTAATTTCTTTTTATATTATGTCTTTTCATATTTGTGCAAGTCCTGTTAACATTGTTTTTTGCAGTGGGAAGTGACACTTCTTTTGATTATATTTGTGACTCAGTTTTTGTTATTTTACATGTGAGGGGAAAAGTTCAAAATATGAAAAAATATGACATCCTGACCAAGTTTTAAGCTGAAATTTATTTTCATGCCATTTTCTTGTCTGGAACTGCTGTAAACTTGTCTGAATTTTAATTTTCCCCAGGTTTATTTTCGAACAGTGGAGCTTATAGAAGAGCCCATTCCTGGATCACCTGGTTTGAGTTTTTATTTCAGAATTAATGGACTCCCCATCTTTATGAAGGGATCCAACTGGATTCCAGCTGATTCCTTTCAAGATAGAGTCACTTCTAAAATGTGAGTTTGAGTTAATGTTTTTTCAACAATCTTTATGGATGCAGAGAATTTGCCCTTGTCCATTGATGCTGGGTAGGAATATCAGCATTAATTTTGGTCATGCAGGCACAGTTCTTTTGCAGGACTCTACCACTTGAGAATTAATGTGGATATCATTTGTTTGAAAGAGCCCCCTGCCAAAAAGCTTTCTACATCTGGAAATTCTGTGTGCCAAGAAGGCGGCCTCTAGGCTACCCCATCTGCCTCACATGTTTAACACTAAGGCAGATTTTGACATGGGTGTCCCTGTGTTAGACCTGTACCGCACACCTTCCTATGATGTATAGTAAACTCTTGGGGTCATTTCAAACAGATATCAAGACCAAATTGTAATGTGGATGATCTTACATGACACATGCAATGAGAACTTCTAAGGGTCCATAGTAGGTAATGCACCAGAACTCAGGAAACAAAACAAGGTGTCAAAGCCAGAATCCAATTATCAGTCCAAGTCACAAGTCCAAATTGCAGTCAGACAGCCCAAAGTCAAACCAATCTGTTGTAACACGGTCCAGGATGCAAGGGAGTTGTCAAACTGGAGTGGGAGCTTCGGTACACTGGAGACCAGTGTTGCTGAGGCAGCTTCTGGGTGGGTGGTGGGGGTGGAGCCAGTTCTTAAATAGCTCTTCTTCAAGGGCTCCCAGTTAGTGCTCATGAGTGCCCTGGCAGCTACTGCAGTGTGTGGGACAGATCCTACAACTACGAGGGCTGTCATTCTGATGCTTGGCCAGGAGGTGGAGCCCTGAGGCTGCCCTGATCCTGACATAACCTCGAGTATAGGTGGTATACAGGTTGTCATTTAACTCAAAAGTTATGTGCTGAACCTGCACTGTGGTTTGACTGTGCATTGTTAACCATGAACAACCCAAAGTTCACAGCCCAACAACAAACCTTGAGTTCTTTTCCTGGGTTGTTCATAGCTAATAACACAGTTAAACTATAGTGCAGGATTTGCATGCAGTGACAGCTCACAATTCAGTGACAACCCTTAGTCTGTTGTTACCAGGCCATTGTGTGTGGGTGTGCACGTGTGTTTTGTGCCCATTCAGTTTAGCTTTGCTCAGAACTTGTTTAATTGTACTGGATGTCTCTTTTATTGATTGGTTTCTTTCTCTCTTCCCCTCTCTTTTAATTGATATACTTTCTAACCAGTTCTCTTGTTCTTCCTCCTGGCCTAAATGCATCACACACATGGGTGCTGCGCCTGCGCAGTGCCTAAGGCCAGAATGATTAGAAAGCTAATGGTTTTTGGCGGGAAACTCTGCTCCCCTCCCACTCCATACTATAAATAGAGCAGAGTGTCCGCCATTTTCTCAGTCTTTGCAACCACTGTTCGCTGTATCTCGTGCTTCTTCGCTCTCGCACTATTGATCTCTTGGTTCTCTGTTCTTGTTAATCGTTCTCCTGTAGTTCCACGTTTTTTCTCCCCTGTTCAATTATCTCTCTCATTCTCTTTTTGCTATATATAAACAAACGAACGAACAAACAAACAAAAGATTATCTTTCCCTCTTCGCTATCTTCTCTCTTTCCATTTTCCGATAGCACAGTGAGCGGCCTTTCGTAAATGCAGTGAGTGCAGGTCTAAAATGTCTCCTGCAGACCCACACAATCTGTGTCTCCTCTGCCTAGGCGAGGGGCACAGAACGGACAAGTGTGGCCACTGCCTGGCTTTTACTAAGCAGGCCTGGAAAAATCGGGAGAAAAGGCTGCCTTTTGACACGTTAATGTTAATGATACTTTGGATACAGTGTGCTGTAGAAAAGTGGCTTATAAGTATATTAAAGGCCCATTCCTCTGTGTGTGTTTAGACAGAAACAAGGCCTAAAACTCCCAGCATGCCCCAGCATTCCAGGGGCATACTGGGAGTTGCTGGGGGAGGGGGTTCTTTTGTGAAAATATGTAGGGAAATGTGCTGAAACTGTGGGCAAGGAGGAGGTTGGATTTACCACTAGAGAATTCTGCCTGTATGGTGGTTGTTACTGCTTCCACCTTGGATATGGACAAGGGGAAAGCAGCCATCAGAAAATGTCCACATCCCCCAAACATGACTACTTAATTTCACTGTAGCAGATGCAGACATGACCTAGCAGCTCTGCCAAAATGCAGAAAACTTAGCCATACATAACGTTTAATAGAAGGTGGACTTTCAAGTGAAGTCCCTTAAGCCCTCCTAAAAGTAATGCACTCTTTCTCCTATCACAGTTCACTCCAAATGAATCTTGCTTGTGTTTTTGGCAGGTTAAGACTTCTCTTGCAGTCAGCAGCAGATGCCAACATGAATATACTGCGGGTTTGGGGAGGAGGCATATACGAGCAAGATGAGTTCTATGACATCTGCGATGAACTAGGAATCATGGTAAAAAATAAGAAAAGCGACTCACATTAGCAGCTGTGTTTAAATCCTTAATCCTTTGCATGTTTGTGCAGAAAAGTGTCCTCAACTGCCAGCATGGCTGGTTGGAGAATACTAGGAGTTATAAGCACTTTCTTCTGTGCAACATGCATAGGATTGCACCCTAAAGTAGGCATATAACATAAAACTGTAAATAATGCTTTTCAGTATTCTTTCTCATTTTCAGTAATGTGAGCATAACAGCCTGTATCCTTTTATTTATTCATTTTAAATCAATGTAACTCTAACCCGAGCCCTAAACCCAAGAACCTAAGAAGAGTTCTGCTGGATTAGACCCAAGGCCCATGCAGTCCAGTCCTGCCTCCCAGAGCAGCCAGTGCTGTCCTGGCACATACCCGTGGCTCACTGCTCCCCATTACAACTGTAATTGCGGCTGAAATATAGTAGTTGGAGTTGAGCAAAAAGCTGAAATTCCTTTTTCAACCATGCTGCTTTTGGAGGCTGACTGCACTTTAAGACAAGGCACATTGGGTGTGTGCTCCTTGTTTGAAAGAGAAACAGCTGCATTTTGCTTACTGCTTCACCAAATTTCAACAACTTTGGTGGTGGAGTGGGGGGTTGCATCCAGCCAGTGCATTGCCTGGTGCCCACCCTGTTCTAGCCATCTGCTGTATCTCTAATCTCCTACACTAGTTGGTACGTTTTATAAAGCTACCTTTCTTCATTTCAGGGCTTTTCAATAAGCAGTTTTTGTTCTCACTTCCACTTAAGAATTAGAATCTTTCTTAGCAAAGTTGCTGGCTAGAGGCAAGACTAGACTGGCAGCATCCCCACTCCAGCCAATGTGTTCAGTATATTTTTACAGCAGGACCCCCGTATCCATGGGTTTAGGTTCCAACTTTAGAACTTTGGGCATTTCTGAGAATTCTGAGGCAGCCTCTGCTGCAACCGTCAAATGGCATCATTTAACCATTTTTTTCTGGTAAGAAAAAGAATACAGAAAAGCTATGGGAAATACAGGAGGATTGCAAAAATCTGGACCCTTACACATTTTTTTTGAAAAGGTAGGGCAACTAAAAAGTTCAGCCAGAAGTAGCCTGAGTAGTAACTTGCGGGAAGGTATAGTTTTATTTGGATGAAAGATACTGATTTAGAATTGCTCTTATACATTTTGCAACTTGGGGTAATATATTTATCAATATATAACAAATAATTAGGTATGATTTCCAGTCACACGTCCTTCTCTTAGGTCAGCCTTGCCCTGATATTTTCTATACCCACACATCAAGAGAATCTTTAGTTCACTCTGATAACTTCGATACTCTTAGGATATTACAAAGAACTAAAGAAACAAGAAGCCCAAAATGTTAAATTGAATTTACACTTGAAGGCAGACCTTCATCTTGCATGGTAATTTGTCTGTCTTTCCGCTATGGGAACTTCAGCCCTCTCCCCCACTCGCAAATACATTGCACAAATGTGAAAGCAAAGGAACAAAAGAGCATGAAGCAATTAGTGTTTCCTGTTTTTGTGAATCATGCCAGTGCCTAAAGAATGTCTTGACATCTTATTAAAACCAGCAACACTACTAACATTAGAGGTAACAAATGATAATTTTGGATGCTTTCTTTATCTTTTGACAGCTGGTAGTGGTCCAGGTACCTTAAAGCAGACTTTCTCGACAGGGTTCACTCCAGATGTGTTGGAAAGTATCCTTGCCCCCTGCCGCCAACCAGCTATGCTGGCTGGAAGTACTATTTATTATCCAACGTGTTTGGAATGCTTCAATTTGTTTGTTTATCTACATTTTATTTTATTCTGTACCACCCAATAGCCAGTGTTCTTTGGGCAATGTACAACAATTCATAAATATTTTGAAATGGCTGTTTTAAAGAGTAGTCTAGGCACCGGGGGGCGGGGGGGGGTGTCTCTCTTATTCTTCCAAATCATTCTTCTTTGAGAAGGCAAATATCACTTAAAAGAAAAGAAAAGGATCCTGTAAGGGTGGGGATAGAGGTAAAATGCCTTGTGAACTTGCTGTGTGTGCAACAATGTATACCTTTTGTCACATGAAGGTCTACAGCCACTGGGAGAAAAGTACTGTGGGGGCTGCCATGATTGATGATATCGCAGGGCCATTCCCCTAATTTTCAGTTTCCACTGGAAGAAGCCTCTAACCTAGCCTTCCCTGACCTCATACCTTCCAGGCGTTATCCCATCAGACCTAGTTAGGATGGCCAGTGGTCAGGAATAATAGGAGTTGTAGCCTGAAATATCCAGAGGGCATCAAAGTGGGGAAGGTTGCTCTAACCTCTCTTGTGCAGGTATAAGAAAACTGTGCATCTGTTCTACCCATTTGCCCATCGATAAGGAAAGTTTCCCGTCTTCTGGTATTCTGGTCAATGAGTGCAAAGGCCAGTGTGGTGTGAGGTTAGAGGGTTGGACTGGAATGCTGGAAATCCAGGTTATAGCCTCCCCCCACCCCCCGAGCAAGGGGTGACTTTGGGTCAGACATTGTTGTAACTAACCTACCTCTCAGGGTTGTTGTTGCAAGGCTAAAATAGAGAGGAGGAGGAGGACCATGTAAGCTGCCTTGGGCTCCTTGCAAGAAGAAAAAGGTGGGATAGAAATCTAATAATAAAAAGTGGCAATAAAAGAAAGGCCTTGGGATGATTGTCAAGCTCTAGCCTTTCATGTTTAAATAATGCTATAATTGCATAGCTTTAAGCATATTAGTCTGTCCTCACTTACCTTCTGACTGTTCTCTGTGTGATTTTTGGCCACCATCCCCTCTGGGGACGTAACGGTAGAGCATTACGGTGTGGTGCTTCTCATTGCTGAGTTATAAGGGGAAATGTCTATGGGGAGGGGGAGTTCAATTTAATCCACAATCATATGCTGACCATCATCCCCATGGCAGGAATACAAAACTTGTGGCCCTTCAGATGTTGTTGGAACGCAACTCACACTGGCCCCAGCCAGCATGGCCAGTGGTTGGGTTGAAGGGAGTTATAGCCCCAGACTGGGGGGCACATGTTCTCCCGTCCTGCTAAATGAGGGATGCACCAAAGGACAAGAGGGAGGAGTCCCACCCTGTGGCTTGAGCCTTCCTTGCACATCTTTGAGCTGAGGGAATTTGCAGCCCTTTTAAAGAAGCCCAGGTTGAGATTGTTATTCCAGGGCAGTAATCATTTTGGCAGTATATTTGGGTGTCACTTCTGTCATCAAAAGTTCTATTAATTATATGGGCATATTTTACATTTCTGCAAGCAAACCCTGTGTTTATCAGGGCAGTGGGGCTTGATCGCTAGCAAGTATGCTTAGGATTAATAATGGGGACTGAAAATCTATGTATTCTGTTTTGTTGCTTTAAAAAGACAGCTCCTAAGTAATACAAGCGGGGAAATACATACTCTGTTTACATGGAGGAACTGGCTCCTTGTTGACCTCTTTTGTTTTTTGCTCTTTTCTAGATTTGGCAGGACTTCATGTTTGCTTGTGCACTTTATCCGACAGACCAGAGCTACTTAGACTCAGTAAAAGCAGAAATTACTCATCAGGTATGCTATTCAGCCCAATAAGATTAAGTTCTCATATTTACACAAACTAGTCTTGATGAGTTGCATCTCTCTGCTCTCTCTGTTGTGTGTGAACATGCATGTGTGTGAGAGGCAGAGCCTTGCTTAGCCCTCCCAGTCCAACATGAAGGGAAAAATAATGCCAAATACTACATACAGGCAGTGAGAGCAATTTAGGACTCATCAGCCCAGGATGGCTGGTCCTGCTTGGTGACTCGTCCCACCCTGTTTTAGCTTGGCAAGCCACGCAAGTATTCCTTCCCAGAAGGTTCTGGGAAAATGTCGGTGATGTATGGAAACTCTTCATCCAATTCAGAGAATCAGATAAACGGGAAGTTACACTGGCGCGAGGAGGGTCAACTGCATTCCACAAAGGCGTGCTAGCATGCTTGAAACTCCTTCCCAGAAGACCTTGCTCAGGGCTGGGAACCTCCAACCAAGGATACGAATGCTACCGGCAGGGTTTCTCCATCCACATGGCATCATGCCTTCCTCTCTCCCTGCACAGCAATTGGGCTATTAAAAACCTTCTTTCCATTAGTGCAAATGGAAACTTTTTTAAAAGCCTATTTTCAGTGGGAGGAGGGCAGGATGATTTTCCAGGGGACTGTGCTGCAGCGAGGCAGAAAGGCTCAACCTTACCTTCTGCATGTGCAGTAAGAACTCTCCTTAAAAGCCTTTTTAAAGCCTCATTGCTATTCATGGAGGGAGGGCAAGGAGGAAAGAGAGAGAGAAGGCGGAATCATTCATATCTGTGAGGGAAAAATATTAGAAATAGAGTAGGGGTTGGTGGTTCTGACCCAGCCTCCCCCTGAAAAATTTATTTGGAGGGCCAGCATTCATTCATGGGATGGCGGGGGTGGGGGCAGGGAGTTCTACTCCTCCGACTTAAGTATTTCCACTCCCCCTTTTTTGTTCAAAGCCCTTTTTAGGCACAGTCCTATAGGGTTCTTCAGAGGCCCAGCTCCATGATCCTGGAACCCTGAAGGCTAAGCCCCCATCCTAAGTCCACTTCGTCCTGCCCTGCCTTCTGGTTCGTACAGAAAAAAATGTGCTGGCTAGCCCTGCCCTGAGGTTTTACCTGGGCTTTAAAGGGGGGAGGGGCTTCCAGAGGGTGATGAGGGAAGGACACCGGGACAGCAGACTTAAGCCTATACTCATTGGCCTCACAGCCTTCTTGCTTCCTGTCCTCAGGGCTTCATCTAGGCAGCTGAAAACAGCAGCTTAGAATAAACAGGCAGAACACTGTGTAGATGGCCACTGCTGTGCTTTGTTCCAGGCATAGGATGCATTTCAACCTTGAGTTTGGAGGTTTTTGTGCATCCAGGGCTTGGGACATGGGATTGCTCCTTTAAGAGTTTGGTCCTTTTATTCTGCTCTCTGGCTGAGGCAGTTGTGGTATGTGTGAATGCATTTGGCATCTGCTTTTATTCCTAACTTCACCTTCTTTCCTCTATTTTCTCCTGTTTCAGTTTTGTGAGTTCCTTGGGGCAAGGATTTGTGTTTTACTGTGCAAAGCACCTTGTATACTGATGGTGTTGAATACAAATCTGGGCACTAATAAATACAATAGAAAAATATTTCTCAGTTTTATTTGTATGCCTGAACTCTTAATAGTATGCTTGTAGGCTTCTAAGGCATGCCAGGATAATTTTTAGCATGTATTCTTGGCTCTTTCACTGCTGTCTCTGGGATTTGGCTGAAGCTACCGCTGCTTGTTTCGTTCCGTTTTGGTGCTCTCCATTTTCCTTTCCACCTTGCTGTGCCTGCCAAGCAAAGAGTCTACAGCCCAGTGGAACTCTTCTTGTTGCTGCTAGGATGCCTGGTGCGTTAAACACATTGCAGGGAGGGGAAGCTCCCCTCCGTCTTTCCTCTGCTGCTTCACGGGGGGGCGGGGGGCAAGAGCAGCCTTGCTGCAGTCCCCATCCAGCAAAGGCACATTGCCAGAAAGCAGTCCTCGTGGTTTCCCCTCTGATGGCCTTACCTGCAGATCTTCAGACCTGAGCATTTGAGCTGTTGCCTTACCTGGTAGCTTATGCAATTGGCCATAATAGATGCAAATAGAGTTTTTTGTTCTGAAATAATTCCTTCAGAACACATTGGGCAGGGCAGAGATCATACTTTGTCTGATAAGCCTAACTTGAATTTCTAGGATTACTTTCAAGATAGGCTGGTCAGAAGTACACTTGAACTTGTTCTTTCCCTCTCTCTTGAATGAATACTGTTCTTTTCAGCCGATGCAGTGGGAGCTCCCCCTTCTGTTTCCTCTTCAGAGTACTGAGCTAGAAAATGCAGCCCTTGGGCCACCTCACACTTCCCATTTTTAAGGTACAAACATGGAGTTTGAACCATACTCCTTAAAGAGTGTAAAGGAGAGGAAAACACTGATCAAGTTTGGAAGTCTGTATCAGTCCCAGTAGCCAGAATAGGCTGAGGTTGGTTTTGCAGCCATATCATGTGTGAAACGGCCCTTAGGTTCTGTGGAAGTATGTAGATGAACAAGACAATATATGGTTGTCTCAATGAACAACAGGAGTGATGGATTCCCCACACTGCCTCCTCTAATATCCCTCCCTGGAGAACTAGGCAAAAAAAATGCTACTTACCAGAGGCTTGTGCAATATTTCTGGAATGTGTTGCTGTGGACATTTTCACTCTCCTGGTGAAAACTTTAGACCAGCCTCCAAAGGTTCTAGAGTACAATTCCCATCATCCCTGATTGTAGGAGGGGAGGGAGTAGGAAAAGTCATGTTAAGCTGCTGGAGGGAATACAGTGCCAGAACATTAGTTGCACACAGCTCCTTAGGTGTTTCTATGTAAATGCTAGAAGCCTTAGGGCCAAAATGAGAGAGCTTGAGTACGTAGGGATAAAGAAGATGGATAGATATAGTGGGTATTACAGAAATGTGGTGGAGCACAGATCACCAATGGGATACAGTCACATTTTCCACCAATGGGAAACTGCATAGGAAAGACAGGGAATGGCGTACCATAGGAAGTGTTGCCCTCTGTGTTTAGCAAGGCATAGAGACCTGCAGAGCTAATAATCTAAATTGTGATTAGATTATCCCTAGCTCTCCACAGAAGAACTATGGGTGAAAATTCCTGGCTCCAAAACTAACTTAGACATGGTAGTATGCTTTCGTCCCCCAGACAAGAACGCTCAGGCTGATCTTGAGATGGGAAATGAAATCAGGGAGGTCTCTAACAAAAAGGCAGTGATGTAATATAGGGGGACCTCAACTACTCACACATTGACTGGATAAATGCATGTTCCAGTTCTGACAGAAAGGTTAACTTTTTCAATGTCGTACATGACTGCCCTAGAGCAGCTGTGCGTGGAACCAACTAAAGGGAAGGCACCCTTGGATTTAGGCCTAAGCAGAGTTGCCCAGGACATAGTACAGGATGTAAACGTTGTTGAACCATTAGGTAACAGTGACCACACTGGTATCAGATTTAATAAACAGTTAGATGGAAGACTGCCAGAGAGGTCAGACACAGTGGCATTTGACTTCAAAAGAGGAAACTTCTCAAAAATGTGGAAACTGGTAAAGAAGAAGCTAAAGAGGGAAATCAAGAAGTTTAAATTGCTTCAGACTCCTTTGAGATTACTCAAAAACACTATAATTGAGGCATAGATAATATGCATATCACAAGTGAGAAAAGGTAGCACAAAGTCCAGGAAATCACCAGCAAGGTTAATGCATAGAGTCAAGGAAACTATTAGGAAGGAGAAAGCTTCCTTCAAAAAATGGGAATCTTGCCCAAATGCAAAGAACAGATGGGACCATAAATGTGCACAAGGGAGATGGAAGCAGACAATCAGAGAAGCAAAGTACAGTTTGAGGAGCATGTGACTAACTATATCAAGGCTAACAATAAATAATTCTATGAAAAGATTGCAGAGAAGCTGATAGAATTATTTCATCAGTCCTCACAGCAGCAGACAATGAGCAGATACCTGTCCCCGAGCTTATGTATACTGGAAGGGAGTCTGAGGAATTAAGGCAGACAGTAGGGAAAACAGATAAAATTCTCAACCTTATTGACAAACTGAAAGTCAGCACGTTACCCAATCCAAATGGTATCCATCCTGGAGTTGTCAAAGAACTCAAGCATGAAATCGCTGACCTTCTTACCAAAATATTTAACATGTCCCTTAAATTAGCCCTTGTACCAGAGGACTGGAGAATGGCCAGTATGACACCAATTTGTAAAAAGGGATTCAGGGCGATCTGGGAAATTATAGGCCAGTTATTTTCACATATGTTTTGGCTAAGCTGCTTGAAAGCACTATTAAAGATAGAATCAATAAGCACATAAAGGTACAAGCCCTGCTAAAAATCTATCCTTATGGCTTCCGCAAGGAGAGGTCTTGTCTCCCTAACCTATTGGAGTTCTCTGAGAGTGTCAATAAGCACATAGAAAGGAGCAATCCATTAGACAATGTTTACTTCCAGAAGGCCTTTGATAAAGTTTCTCACCAAAGGCTCCTGAAAAAGTAAGCAGTCATGGAATAAAAGTGTGTGTGGATGGGATTCTCTTATGGATTACTAACTGGTTAAAGAACAGAAGACAGAGGGTAAGAATATATGGCAATTTCTTCCAGTGGAGAGAGGTCACCAATGGAATCCCTCACAGCTCTGTATTAGGACCAATGCTTTCAACCTATTCATGAATGATCTGGAATTTTGAGTAAGTAGTGAGGTGGCCAAGTTTGCTGATGACACTAAAGTTTAGGGTGGTTAAAACCAAAAGGGACTGTGAGGAGCTCCAAAGGAATCTCTCCTAGTTGGGAGGATGGACATCAAAATGACAAGTGTAGTTCAGTATAAGGAAATGTAGAGTAATATATGTTCGGGCAAAACAAATCTGAACCTCAAGTATACACCAATGGCATTTGAACTAACAGTGATTAAGCAAGAAAAGTATCTTGGGGTAGTGGCAGACGCTTGGTGAAAATGTTGGCCACTCAGCTGCTGTGAAGAAGGCAAACTCCATGGTAGGCATAATTAGGAACAGAATAGAAAACAGTACTGCCAAAATCTTACTTCTCTTATACAAATGCTTGGTGTGACCACACTTGGAATATTGTGTTTAGTTCTGGTTCCCTTACCTGAAAAAGGACGGTGTTGAGTTGGAGAAGCTGTAGAAAAGAGCAACAGAGATGATCAAGGGGCTGGAGCAGCTCCCCTGTGAGGAGAGGCTACAACAACTGGGATTGTTCAGTCTAGAACAAAGGTAAGGGAGGACATAGAGGTGCTTAAAATAAGGCATGGTGTAAAGAAAGAGGAGAAGGGGACATTTTTTCTCCCTGTCTCATAGCGCTTAAGCCCAGGGTTATCCCATGAAGCTGATTGGTGGGAGGTTTAGGACAGATAAAAGGAAGTACTTCTTCATACAATGTACTGTATAGTTAAACAATGGAATTCACTGCCATGAGAAGTAGTGATGGCCACCAATCTGTACGGCTTCAAAAAGGAATGGGACAGATTCTTGAGGGAGGAGGCTATCTGTGGCTACTAGCCTTGTGGGCTATGTGCTGCCTCCTTCACCAGGGGTGGCATCCCTGCCTATACCAGTTGCTGAGTAGCTTGGGCAGGAGGAGGTCTTGCACCCATCCTTCTTGAGGGATCCTGTGGGCAGCTGGTTTGTCACCATGTATACCAAGTGCTTGATAGAAGAGAATGCAAAAGTTGGCTTGAAACTCAACATTGAGAAAACTAAGATCATGGCATCCAGTCCTATCACTTCCTGGCAAATAGATGGGGAAGAAATGGAAGTAGTGACAGATTTTATTTTCTTGGGCTCCAAGATCACCGCAGACGGTGACTGCAGCCAAGAAATTAAAAGACACTTGCTCCTTGGGAGGAAAGCTATGGCAAATCTAGACAGCATAATAAAAGGCAGAGACATCACCCTGCTGACAAAAGTTCATATAGTCAAAGCTATGGTTTTCCCAGTTGCAATGTATGGCTGTGAGAGTTGAGGGCCAAAGAATTGGCACGTTTGAATTGTGGTGCTGGAGAAGACTCCTGAGACTCCCCTGGACTGCAAAGAGATCAAATCAGTCAGTCCTAAAGGAAGTCAACGCTGACTGCTCTTTAGAAGCACAGCTATTGAAGTTGAAGCTCAAATACTTTGGTTACCTAATGAGAAGGAAGGACTCATTGGAAAAGACCCTGATGCTGGGAACGATTGAAGGCAAAAGGAAAAGGGAATGACAGAGGTTGGGATGGCTGGATGGGGTCACTGGAAAGGTGAGTGGACTGTGGGGATGGTGGAGGACAGGGGAACCTGAAGGAATGTTGTCCATGGGGTCATGAAGAATCGGGCACAACTTTGCAAATGAACAACAACATATGAGGTGCTGGACTAGAAGGACCTTTGGTCTGATCCAGCATGGCCTTTCTTATGTTCTTATGACATTGGCTTGGGCTGATGGAAGTTTAACTCCAAAACATCTGGAGAACACCAGGTTGGGGAAAATTGCTTCAGATCTCTTTCTGTCTTGGTCATGAGCTTCAGCATCAGCAGGTTTAAGAGTTGTACAGGTGCAATAAATTCTCTAAAGCTTAGGCAGGGAACGCATAGCTCTCCAGATGTTGGTGGGCTATAGATCTCATCAGCCTTAGCCTGTATATCCAGTGTTGAAGAATAATGGGTGTCTCAGTCCATGAAGAAATGTCTGTATATAACCTGCTGTTATGTAATGTTTATTTTGTGTGACTTCTGTGTAAGTAGGCTGGGGCCTTGTTTTATTGCTGTGGAGGGCCTTTTTAGTAGTTGCTCAGTGACATTCTGAAGGGAGCTAGGGAGAATTGTTGGAATATTGTTAGATGGGACCTGGAACAGATAAATTCAATTTTGATTGGTTGGAATTTCCAACTAGGTGGGAAAGAATAGTTGTCAGTTGATGCTTGTCTAAGTTACCCTGGGATGAATTTGGGAGAAAGTCAGCCTGGGATGAATTTGGGAGAAAGTCTGCTGGTAGGTTGGTGGTGTTTTAAAAAGCATAGAAGAAAGCTGAGGTGAAGCTGAATGGCTAAGACCTGGATGCTAAGCTTCCTTGTGGGGTAACCATACATGGCTGATGATGATCAGGTGTAGGGAGCAGGAGGCTGTTTGATGCCAAGAGGCTGCCCTGGCTTTTTTCTAGAAGAAGGTTATATAAGCAGGCAGTAAAACCCCCAATAAACTGCCCAAGCAGTCAGAAATATAATAGCAGAAGCACTGCAGTTAGAAGAACACTCTACCCAGAAGCTGTAAGTGTCTGGGGTGGAGTTTAAGGAATTTGACCTGCGGTAAAAGAAGTCATTAATAATAGCACAGGAATAGCAAGAGTGGCTTTTGAGCCCTTAAGAATTGTCACTAAGCAGTCTTGTAAAACCCCCAAAATAAATACCGGTAAGCCCTTATATGCACAATACCTTTTAAATAGATCGTTTGTTTAATAGTTTAACTTGTCTCTAGTGCTGGCACTTACCTCACATGTAAGTATCTTATACCTCGGTTACTAGGAGATTTTAATGTATTCTAACAGAATTGGTAGACATAGAAAAGGGGCAGTTTATGGAACACTGAAATACAAGCATTTACTAGAAATATTCCCCAATAAAAGAGCAGTTCCAATAGGGGGAGGCAGTGCTTTGGGGAAAACTTCCCATATTATCCAGCACCTGGAGGGCTGCATGTTTCCCAACTCAGTTCCCTCCAGATGTGTTTGACTACAACACCCATTATTCCCACACAGCAGGCCATAGCCATGCTTGGAGGTGATGATGTGAGTTGTATTCCAACACACTTGGTGTGCATTAGGTTGGGGAAGGTTTGCTACTGTAAAAATGCAGATCACTTCTTTTCCCTGATGTGAATCTGGGGCTGGTTTTTTATTTGCTGGATCCTTTGGAAAATAGAAGCCACTTCAGTATCATAAAACCCACCATAATTTTAAGTCTGGTTTGTATTTGCACTGAGTCATTTGATAAAATCCTGCCTTTTTATATTAGTGTAATTTACTGATATACAAAAGATGGTGCTCATTAATTTTGAAAAAAATAATACATTCTGTTTATTTGAAGTTGCAGTTTTTGTTCTTTCTAGGTAAAGCGACTAAAATCTCACCCATCTATCATATTGTGGAGTGGGAACAATGAAAATGAAGCTGCAATAGCCTTCAACTGGTTCTCTGTTCCACCTGTAAAGAGGAACATTTATTCAAGAGATTATGTGACACTTTATGTCAACAACATCCAAGAAATCGTTCTTGCTGTAAGTACTGTTTTTCCAGAAACAAGAAATGGTCAAGCTTATCAGTAGACTCTAAGCTCTGCTGAATTACTGATTTTCTTCTCTAGTTTGGAAATGAGTGGATCGTAGCATGTGCAGCTGCTGAATCCTTATAAAGACCCACCAGGCAAAATCTGGACATGTCTGTTTTCACTGGGTATTCCTTGCCATGTTCAAATCAGCTTTGATGGCCATTTCATCTTCCACTCTTTCCCTGCATTGGTGGTCTCTTTGTAACACAAGCATTGAAGTCCTCTCTGATTTTTGGTTGCCTTGTATGTAGGGTTAAAAGGGTATTGCTTTAGGGAAAATGAAAATGTAGGTGATGCACCTGCCTCAGTGTTTACTGTGCTACATGCTGCCAATCCTGGGGTATGCATTGTCTCCCCTTGACACAAGAATGTGTGGCCCTCCATATGTTGTTTGACTGCAGCTTCCATCAGTTCCAGCCAACAGAGCTAATGGCTAGGAAGGAAAGGAGTTTTAGTCACAAAACATCTGGAGGGCCATGCATTGTTGTGTCAAGGGGAGGCAGTACGAATTGCAGGAGAAGTTGTGGTTGGGCTTGCAACTCTTTGGTACTGTGCTTGTCCACTGTCTCTCCCTGGAGACTCTTTGACTACTTGGAGATGCTTGCCTTGTCTTCACACTTCATAGCATTCTTCTTGAATGAAGCATAAGTGCTACTAACATGATTAATAATTATTTGATCAATCTTTTTTGGATGGTGCATGAACAAATGAACCCATGCTCTGAGGATCTCAGTACAGGAGGGACTTTTCTGGAGGGGTGTGGTGGGAGGAAACCCTCAAATGCACCTTCTCTCTACAGTGCTCCTTCAAAGGATTTTATTAGCAGGATTTGCCAAAAGAGAGAACTGAGCATCAGAAATTGTTCTTCTCTTTTCCACTTTTTTGCCCAAGAAATGATGAGTGCTAATATATTGTTTGTAAAGAGATGGTAGGTTGTACAACACCATTTTGTCTCCCAGTCATTGGGATTGGTGCCTGTACAAATAATTAAGAGTGGCAAAGATTCTGATGAAGATGCACTGGCTATAGCCAGGCCTGTTACTGCCTGAAAGCTGTGTTTTCAGGGGATTGCCCAAATACCGGGAAGAGAAATTTATTCGGGCTTTAGAAAAGCCAGAATGATCCAGCAGAGTGAGAAAAGAGACAGTGACTCACCTATTCCTGTTCTGGCTTTTGCTTTTGTTTTTAAAATACAAAAAGTTTGCCTTACTCATTTTAAGGGGAAATATCTCTTGGCCCCATTGGTGGCATTGTATTCTTTTTTGTTAAACGCAGGAGGATAAGAGTCGTCCTTTTATTACCTCAAGTCCTACCAATGGTTTGGAGTCAGCCAAGGAAGGCTGGCTGGCCAAGAACCCTTATGACACTCATTTTGGAGATACTCATTACTACAATTACAGAACTGATTGCTGGAATTGGACTACATATCCCAGAGCTCGATTTGCCTCTGAATATGGTTTTCAGTCCTGGCCTTCCTTCAGTACCCTGGCAGAGGTAAGGAAAAGCCAGCTTTGCTCTGTTTGCCATTTTGCAGGTTCTGTGTACATAAGAAGAACCCTTCCCCAACTCCCGTTTTCCATTACCAGCATTGGCAATAGACAGGACTGGCAGGATTTGTTGTCCAACGTATTTGGTGGGTGCAAGTCTGGATCAGCTAAAAGCCCCTCCGGTTGAGCATCCTGTATCCCAGCATGCCTGACCAGATGCCTCTGGGAAACAGCATGAAGGCCATCGTTCTCCCCTTGTCGATCATTTCCAACATGTTACTCAATGGTAAGGTGCTTCTGAGTGCAGTGGCGCCATGTAGCTGTCATACCGAAGTGCCATTGCTAGGCCTTTCGGTGCAGGTGGAGGATTCCTCCCAAAAATGCAAGCTTCAAAGGGGGAATCCTCTTCAAGATCACAGCAGGGGAGGAAAGGGTGAAATGCCTGCTTGGATCCAGACACACACTACGCTCCTGATGCGATTCACAGGTTTAGGAACCTTTATATTAAGAGGAGAATGATGTAAGCTGCTTTGAGCTGTTTAAAAGAAGATCATGGTGGAATATAAATATAAAAAATAAAAGTTGCCTGAGGGCTTCTTCTTCAAGGGGAAGCAAGACCAAGTGGATGCTTTCCACCTGCTCCTGCAGCCAAAAGAACTGCATTGATGGCAGTGGGTAGAGTGTACCTACTTGGCCACGTTTCCTTTCACAGAAGTGAAACCGAGCAGACCCTTCCCCACCATGCACCACCTCTCTGACCTCAGAACTGGCAGCACACAGTCGTACCTGGTAGCCATTCTTTGCTAACAAAGCTGACAACCCCGTGGCACATGGTCCATGCTCCCGCCTGGGTGGGCAAAAATGGCCCGTGGGCCAACTGCAGTTGGCCACCCCTGCTGAGCATGTATGCGCTTCTGTGTTTCGAGGACAGGTATCGGCAGAAGAGGACTGGTCTTACGGCAGCAACTTCTCCCTGCATCGGCAGCATCATGCAGAGGGGAATGAGCAAATGCTTCAGCAAGCCGCACTCCATTTTAAGCTGCCTCAGAACACTACTCCTCTCAAACACTTCCAGCAGACAATTTACCTCACTCAAGTAAGTATTTATCAGCATCAGGAGGGCCAGTGTGGTGTAGTGGTAAAGAGCATGGGACTGGGACTCAGACGACCTGAGTTCTAGTCCCCGCTCAGCCATGGAGCCAACTGGGTGACTTTGGGCCAGTCACAGACTCTCACCCCAACCTACCTCACAAGGTTGTTGTTGTGGGGATAAGATGGAGGAGGAGATGTAAGCTGCCTTGAGCCCTTTGTAGGAAAAAGGCAGGATATAAATCCAAAAATAAATAAATAATTTTTTTGTTGTGGCCTTCAAAAGAAGAAAGATGGTGGCAACTGCAGCATAATCATGGGTGTATATCTAGACATCCACAGGTTGCCCAGACCAGATACTCGGCATGCACGGTGGAGAATCTGGTACCAGCCCTTTGCTTCAGGACAGTTTGTATTAAAATTATGCTAGGTGTTTAAATTACACAATTGGGTTGAACAAGAGAGTTCAGTGTTATCTGTCTGGACTTCTTTATGTCGGACATTATCTCCTGGGATAACACAACTGCTGTGCAGGAAAGCACATTTATGTGGTGGCATATGCAGTGTGGTGTGACTGTTTCTTCTTTGGGGGCACTGTGCAGTCCCACATCTGGGCTCTGCACTTGCACAGGGCCTATTTTGGGAAGCCTCTATAGCTAGGTGAGAGATAGGATGGACGCTCCACTTCCCTCCATTCGTATGTTCAGTGGGGCATGACTCACACCTCCCCTGCTGATACCCTGCTTTAAAAACGATGTTTGCCATTTCTGTATCAGATTATGCAGGCGCAGTGCATAAAGTCTGAAACAGAGTTCTATCGTCGCAGCCAAAGCGAGATCATCAATGGGGAGGGACGGACAATGGGTGCGCTGTATTGGCAGCTCAACGATATTTGGCAGGCCCCTTCTTGGGCTTCCCTGGGTAAGTCTTGTTTGCCCCAAGCAAGATGAGTGATTTTGCTCCCTTAAAAAGCATGCTCTCCTGATGTCTTTGTATATTTATTTGGCTTTTTAATGTTTATTCTGCTTGTCTTCCAAGGCATTCAGTCCAGTGTATATTGTTCTCTCTCTTCCTCCATTTTATTTTCTCAACAACTCAATATGGTAGCATAGGTTGAAAAACAGGTACTCTAAGTTACCAAAAATGCTGTAGTAATTAACAGGGTGGGGGGACAGAAAGGCCTTACAGTTTCAAGTATTTTTGTTGTTGTTATGTGCCAACAAGTAGTATGGAACATAAGTTGAAAGTACTTTCTGAGTTATGGTGACCCTCTGAATGACCTCAAAAATATCCTACCCATCTTGTATATGGACCTCCTTTTCATCTTCTGCCTTCGACTTCAAAGGCAGAAGAAGAAGAGAAGGGCCAACTATGAGATGGATCAACTCCATAAAGGTGGGCACAACCCTGAATTTACAAGAACTGAACTGTCCTATCATGGATACAACATTTTGGAGGGCATTCATTTTATAGGCTTACTATAAGTAGGTGGCACACTGGTTTAAACCGCTGTGCTGCTGGGCTGGTTAATTGAAAGGTCGCCAGTTTGAATCTGCACAACGGGGTGAGTCCCCGTTGCTCTGTCCCAGCTCCTGCCAGCCTTGCAGTTTGAAAGCATGCAAATACAAGTAGATAAAAAGGTACCACTTCGGTGGGCAGGTAACAGCGTTCCGTGCACCTCGGTGTTTAGTCATGCTGGCCACATGACCACAGAGACAGTCTGCAGAAAATGCTGGCTCCCTCAGCTAGGAAACAGAGATGAGCACTGCCCCCTAGAGTCAGGCATGACTGGACTTAATGTCAAGGGGAAACCTTTACCTTTACCTTTTTAAGTTGAAGATGACTTGATGTCACATAACAGGAACCACCATACATTCAGACTTGTTCAGTACGAAGTCCTTTAATTGTCTTGTAGTAGTAATACTTGCAGAGGGTAACCAAGGGCAGGAAGAGATGGCTTGCCTCTCGTAGTGGTATCCCAGGATAAGCAAGGCAACAGGGCTGGCCCTACCATCAGATAAAGTTAAGCATCCACCACAGGCAGCAGACTTCAGCTTTCATGAAAAGATAACAATTTGCTATCTTGTTGGCATTGTATTTTTAGTGCCAGGGAAGATTGAAGTTTTTGTAGGATATTCTGCTTCATGTTGTTGTTAGTCACAAAGTCATGTCCGACCCATCGCGACCCCATGGACAACATTCCTCCAGGCCTTCCTGTCCTCCACCATCCCCCGGAGTCCACTGCTTCATGTACTAGTATAATTTCCTTGTGTGCTTGCTATGGGTACGAGGCACCTTAACTCAAGTGCATGGACTCTGTTTCTTGCACTGCCTCAGGCAAGAAATGCAGTGGACCAGCCCTGGAGGCATAGCTTCTTCTGAAACAACAAGGACAAGTGCAGATTTTTAATTTGTAGGTTTAGCCTTTGCTGTTGCACAGGATATCAGTGTTTGTTCCGTTCAAGCACTCTCTTCCTTCCTCACAGTGGAGGGGAGGTTTCATAATTGTCAAAATGTTGAAGAGTTGTCAGTGAAACTAGCACTAGACTCTCTGAGAGAGATGTATGCATTGTTGAGGGAAGTTTCTCATTCCTCTGCTCTCTTGACTCTGTGGCAGTGAATTCACATGTTTCAGCACCTGATAACTTAGAGCAGTCCAAAACTTAAAATCTAATAGAACAGTGATTCAAAAGGAAATGAGGACCAGGGATAGGGAGCAGAATAGGGAAAATCAACAAATGCAGGTGCCAACTCAAGCATAAAAAATACCAGTGCCAGAAAGAGATCCAGGGGAAGAAGATAGGTGGGCGTGTCTTCTCATCTCTCCTGCTTCCATAGCCTGGTTTGCTTCCATTCTGCCTGATGCTTTAAATCAGAGGACGGCAAGCTGGGGCTGCACAGGCTGGCCCAGGGGGGAGTTGGCATCTTCTGGATCCTTGCCCCAAGCCTGTCCCCTGGCTTGGGGACAGGGGGCCCCTTATTTTATATCCCTGGCTTTAGTCTGGCCCTTGGACCAAAGAAGCCCTCCTGCCCTGTTTTGTGTGATGGTTTTTGACTCAGCCCATGTATTGCATTTGCTACTGTGCAATATCCTCTTTTAAGGAAGAAAACTGAATTGCAAGCAGTGTTTTCTCAGCCTCCCTCCTGCTTGTAATGTCACCTTGACACACTTGAGTCAGACTGCACATTTTGCTGGAAGAGATGACTCGATTTTGTTCATATTGCACACCTAGCACCTACATCATCCACTGAGCTGAAAACAGCAGCTGATAGAGAAAATAATAGCTTTGGGGTGCATGATTACGGCACAGACAGAAGGAAATAATGGCTTTGTGGTGTAGCATGATTAATTTAGTGCCAGTCTCACAGAGAAAAGAGCTTCCTGCTCTGATTCTGGCTGTTGGTGAAAAGACCTTCGAGGGATACTTGAAACAGGAATCTGAATCTCTGTCACTGTCCCAAAGCACCATATCTTACTCTGAAATACAGTTGCTTGAAATGCAGCACTTGAATTGGTCAAATCCCAGTAATTCTGCCATATGCCTTTGAGATGAATTGTCACGCTGGCTGAGTGTTTTTGCCTATGAATGTATTTAGGTGAACTGCTCCTGCTATGAATTTTTACTTGCATCAAGGTTTAGAAAATACAAGGTCTGTGAGCTGGGTGGGGAGAGGGGGAACTACTATAGCACCTTCCTGTAGTAACACCTGGTACCTTGCAAACTCCTGCCCTGTATGATTGTTGTTTCTGACAGGAGCAACACTACTTGTATTGAAAACAGTGTAGAAAATACAATGTGCAGGCATAATTTAGTGTGTGAATTGCTTTGATGCAAACTGTTCCTGGCAGGTATGTTAAGACAGCTGCTGTGTTAGCCGTAGATTAAGACACTGACAGTGAATAGGTAATCTCCGCTGCCTGTTGAGTTGCTGTCAATGCTTATTCCAGAAGTTGGTGCAGGATAGACCAATGGATTCCATATGGGATTATATGAACTAGGTTGCCCATGGCTGGGAAGTGGAACAGGGTCCATGAGGTTCCCTTCTAGAAAAGAAAAATGTGGCCCCAATCATGGGGACCATGGTTAGCTCTGCAATCCATGTTTGTCCATCCAGCCTTTTTCTGGGTGGTTGTTTCAATGGAGGAATGTTGGCCATGTGAACTAACCCAGTATTCTCTGTACTGAAGCAACCTCCTATCCATTGCTGGAAAATGTAATAGCCATTTAAACAGCCTGTTGAGGAATGAGAGGACAACCCTTGAAGAACGCAAGGCATGTCTGATGCAGTGCTGGGGCTAACCCCTGCGCTACTTCAGCAGCAAGGTTGCCATTAGCTTACATAAAGAGGAGTCCACAAGGACCAGCTGTGGTCTGCTAACTGTCTATAGCGTGGACACCTAGGGAGGTGCAGCTCTAGTGCCGGGAATGACTTCATCATAGACATGTCCCTTGTGTACCTTCATTGTAAACATTGCTGGGGTGGTGAGGGATGTTGCTTTAGGCAGGAGATAGCTAGTGCCCAGCCTTCCTGAGAGTGGAGCCCTCCAGCAGAGTGTGATTGATATGCCTAGCTGGAGGAATCTGGGAGTAGTAGTCCACTCCCAGTTGGGGAAGGCTGGGGATACCTCCTCTAGGAATCAGGGCTCTTAAACAGAATGGCGAGCTGGAAGTTATTTCAGGGTGTGGTGACTATTTTTCCTTTTGGAAACCTCCTCAGAATATGGTGGCAAGTGGAAAATGCTCCATTATTTTGCCCAGAATTTCTTTGCTCCTTTATTGCCTGTGGCATTTGAAGATGAAGATGTCCTCTACATATATGGTGTCTCAGATCTTCATGCAGACTATGAGCTGACACTCAGAGTAAGTGGTTCAGTTTTGCCTTATTCTGAAGCTACAGTTTGGAAAGAAGAAGAAGAAAGGGAGGGCAACAACCTTTTTTAGGAAAGTGGATTAGTGGAAATGTGGTTCAATTTTTTGATCGATTAAAATAGTAGATTTGAATTTGCATGACAAACTCATTATTTTGAAGGAGAAAATACTGTCTTTTTGGAGGTATGTGTTATAGGATTCATCATTGTAGAGGAGGCATGACAATAGAGGAGGAATGCCTCTTCTAGGAGGGTGCTGCCATCCATGTTTTTTATAAGTAGCTATACTGATTATTTTTAACTTTGAAACAAATGTATTTCTGTGAAATCTCAATTTATGTTGCTTGCAGGAAGGAAAGAAGGGCTTACACCTCTGCAGGCAGAGATGACCTCCGCTAGTACATTGGGGTGTTGCCATGAGCTTAGGGAGAAGGAAGTGTTCCTGCTAGTGGAGCTGCTGCAAAGCACTGAAATGGGGCACTCCAGAGGTGGGGCAAAAATGGGGAAGAGCTGGACCCCCTATATCCCAAACTGTTCCACCCCTCTCCCTCACCTCCTGAGATTAACTTGATCTAGATTTATCAGCTGCACATGCCTGGGGTAGCTAATTCCCTTTGCACACACCTCTCAGTGAGGATGTGGGAGCTGTCACACAACATTCTGGAGCGGGAGACAAGGGTGCCAAATCAACTCTCCATCACCCATGTTGCACTTCAGGGCACGCACCCTGACTGCAGTGTGGGGCAAAGAGTGGTTGCTGTTGTTTGTCCCTGTGGCACAAACAGGGCTTCTGCCTTGAAGTACAGCAAGGTCAGCTTCTAGCTCCAGCTGGGGAGCTAGGGCATGAGCAGTGTCTGTGCAACAGAGATTCACTGAAACAGAAAAAACAGGTGAAGGAGGGCAAAGACAAGCCCAAGAAATAGGCTCAATGGCGTTCATCATTGGCATATGCCCATCCCGCCAGTGGTCATGGCTGCAGTTCCTGACTGCCAGCACCAGTAGACCAGTACTATTGTGGCTATCCTTGGTAGCAGAGGTCCATGAATCTGTGTTATTACCTATCTTTCGGAACAACTGCGACTGCCAGTTCCTGCAGCTCAGTCACTGGTTCCTGTGACCCAGCTACCAGTCCCTACATTCTAGCTGCTGGTTCCTGTGCTTCAGCCACCTGTCCACCTGTCCACATGGAGTCTGCTCCACCTCAGTCACATTCCTCGTCATCTGTCTGGTCTTCAGCATCAGATCCTGCAGATTATGTGGCTGATTCAGACCAGCTGCCAATCTACAATGACCCAGTTGCTTAATCGCCTGAAGAAGTAATCTGTGTGCAAGGTCCGGGACCCCCTCTGAAGACCCGGGGTGGTTGTCTGAACAGATGGATCCTCGAAAAGGTAATGTGGCTTGGGTTGGACACCCAACAGCTCACTGAACCCAGTCTATAACATCGTCTGGATGGAGGATGAGGTGCCAGTGATCATTCTGTTCCTTCCAACATTCCTCCAGTCCCTGAAGGAGCCATGGAAGGTGCTGGCACTGCCACAACCAACATCTCGCCATTTGTGCAGGAGAGGGACATCCCTTTCCTTCTGCACCATCCATGGCTGAACTCAGTCATTGTAGTTGGCACAGGGTTGGGTGCAGGGAGAGCATTCCACTGCAGCAGATTGAGAGGGCTGCTGTTTGGACACAAAGGCACGGAGGATCTGTGTGGCAATGGGACTGGGTATCCACATATCAAACTGCAAGGCCACAGTGGAGAGATCCTGTGGAAGAAGATGGTCCCCATAGTCAAGTTCCTTCTGGAGCAATTCCTCACACTGGCTAGGATGTTTCAGGCAGAGGTCTTCAGGCTGAGAACAAACCAACACTGCATGCCACCATGTCAACTGCCACCCTTGTCAGTGTGGTGATCTGGCAGCACGCCTGGCTTTGGGCAGGGATCCTATTCCAAAAGGCACTGTGAAGGATTGAAGAGATGCCTTTTGATGGTGAGGGCCCCTTCACTGCCTGGACAGATGGACAGCATGCAAAAAGCCACGGCTGTGGCAAGGAGGATGGGCTTTGAGCCCTCATAGCCATCAAGGGCACATAAATAGCCTTGGGACCAATCCCTGTTCCACTTTTGGAGCCAGTACCATTAACCCAGCCACACTGAAGTAATGCCATCTCTCATTTCCAGCACTCCCAAAAGAAGATGCTGGATACCAAGAGGCAATGCCATCAACTGCTGCAATGAACCAGCCCTCCTTCATTGGCACAAGTGTGCTTTGAAGGCTGCCTTACCACCTACCCTCCTGCATGGGAAGCCTTAACATCAGATTGGTGGGTTTGCTCCATTATGGAGACTGGATATCACATAGAATTCAACACTCTTCCACCTCTCATGACAGTGCATGATACCACCCTCTCCTATGCTGGTGGAGGAAGTTGCCACGCTACTGTTGAAGGGAGTTATCTGACCCATTCCTCCATCCAATCCCCATTGTTGGTTCTACTTATGATATTTCACCATTCTGAAGAAGGACAGTGGCCTCTATCCCATCTTAGACCTGCAAGATGTGAACTTTCATTCCCCACAAGAAGCTACACATGGTCTCACTGCCAAAACTTCTGCTGTTGCTGCCCCAAGGGGACTGGTTCACCTCAGTCAGTCTTAAGGAAGCATATTTTCATGTGTCCATCCATCAGTATTGTTGGCATTTTATTTATTTAGAAAATTTCTATGCCGCCCCATTCGCCGAAGTCTCAGGGCGGTTCACAAAACATCTGGGCAACTTCTTCTTCCTTCTCTTTCTCCTCCTATATTTTTATTTTATACTGATAATTTTAATTT